CTTTGTTAATTATGCTAAATGGTGATAATTTAGCTGACAACCAATTAGGTATGTCAAGCAAATTTTCCCGCAAAAGGAAAATATCGCATAATTTTATAAACCCATTAGAGGGCGCATAGGCCCTAAACGACCAGATTTGACCCTCGTTTAACAGTCTGAGCAGATGTTGCCAAAAAGCCCTTTTCAACTAAACCAAGGCGGAACATAGATCTTTATCTTGGGGAAATAGTAGCTGGAGTGCCCAGGGCACCCGTCAGGACTCTCACTTGGAAAGAGACAAGAGGGGGGCCTATAGTTAAAACGTACTTGCACCAAAGTTACTTAAACTCTTCACGGGCTGCTAAAGACGAGAACAACGCTTGAAAAAATTTTCAATGCTATATGTCAGTTTTAGCTCAAACTGTCCCGTGGGGGCCCCAAGACTAGTATGGGAAACAAAATAGAACCGGGGCCTCCCCCCCAAAAAGCTGTCGTAAAAAGACAAATTTGGGGGTTTTCCTTCGAAGCAAGCGAGCGGCAAAAAAAACCCCCCAAATCCCAAACAAATAACCAGTAAAACGGATGATGTACGTGCAAATCTCAGGCCCTGGCACACAGCAAAAGCCCAAATGGTTGAAAATAAAGGATGGTTTTCCTTCGGACGCTTACAGAAGAAGAAGAAGAAGAAAAGGATAGACGAAGAAGAAGAAAAGAAGAACAAAATAAAAAGAAGAGAAGAAGCATCAGCGAGCAAACAGCTCAACACTCTGTCCTCCACCTTTGTGTCTGTCTATTTGTCTGTTTTCCCTATTGAGCTGCCATCCGAAAGCCTAAACACCCTGCAACATTAGGAGTCTAATCCTTGACAGCACACCAACAGGCATAGTAACAGAAAGTCCGTTCTTCGCCACGCCGCGGTAATCCTAGAGATGAGTTCTAAGCCAAGAGCCTGGTCAATGTAAACAGAACTGACGTTTCTTTAGAAGTCGGAGAACATCTGCCTGACAGGCGATGAACCAACAGTCTTCACACAAATAAGCTAGATCTGTAAATGGATATGCACACAAAGCTCAAGTCGTGGAACAAGACCAGAGTTCAGAAGTGGATAAACAACCAGGACTGCCCACTTGGGTTTACAGCCGGTGAACGCCAAGATGCAAAAGCATCACACAGCAGGGTTCTCACTTACTTACTTACCCTGGCAATCTTGAAGGTGATCAGCCATATGTATGTGGAAAGCAAAGGGAGACTACTACATTATATATCGTTATAAAATCTAAACTGAAGACATCCTACTTGGTCTGACCATCGAGGGCAGTAGCTCTCATCCTTCCTAATGCCGCGACCCTTTAATGCAGTTTCTCGTGTTGCGGTGACCCCCCCCCCCCCCCCCCCCCCCAAGGCCATTCAATTATTGTTCTTACTATTTTATAATTTCAATGAATATGTGTTTTCCGATGGTCTTATACGACCCCTGTGAAACGATCGTTCGACCTATAAAACAGTCATAGCCCACAAGTTAAGAACAGCTGATCTACAGGGAACTTGCTCATAGACAGCCTACTGTCATGAAAGCTGAGGTATTTAGTAGGGCCGTACCGAATATTCGCTTCGTATTCGCTTCGGTGCCGAATAGTGGACCCAATCACTATTCGGTATTCGGCCGAATAGTTGCGGTCGGGCCGAATACGAATAGTGGCTACCTTACAACCGTTTCTGGACTGGTGGAAAAAAAACATCAAGATTTCCAACCTTGGTTTATACTTGGAAGAGTTATCTTTGTGCACCACCTACGAGCGTACCAAGTGCCCCTTTATTTCCATCTTGTATGTGTTGCGAGTATAGTGTTTTTAGGTGTGTTGCTGTAGAAACAAAATGCAACACTTAAAAATGTAAGAGGGGCAGAAAAGCAAGTGTTCTAGTGTTGTCGGCTTGATTTCTTTGAGTGGAGAGTCCTCTTCGTTGATTGTTTGAAGTAACTGGAGTTCGTCATCATTTATGGGTGTCGTAACTGTTCTTTCGTCGTCTCGTGGAAACGGCAGCGGCTGAATGTTTTGATCGACGTTCGTTTTCTTCGTTGTCTTTGTTGTTTGATCTTCTGGCGTTGGCCGCCCAGCGTCTGGTTTCGTGAGCTCGCGGGGGGGGGGGGGGGGGGGCTGGGCGATTTGTAAGGACGGCATTGTTTTCTTCGTCTGTGTTATTTTTGTTTTTGATGTTTCGCCTTGCGGGTTTTCATTTTGACTCTCTGTCTTTGTCGTATTTTCCTGTTTGATACAGCTGGAAATACCTACATTGAGACAAAAAAGCTGGCCTAATGCTGACAACATGGAACGAAGGTTTTTCATGGAGGTGTGTCAGCACACGAACTAATACGTGCTGCAGGAGATCGCAGGTTGTGGCGAGGCATAATCGCCCATGCCAGCCGTCAAAGCAAATGATGATGATGATTCACTATTTGTATTCGTATTCGGCCGAATAGTTGGTCCAGCTATTAGTATTCGGCCGAATAGTGATAAAATCACTATTCGGTACAGCCCTAGTATTTAGGTCAATTGGTTGATGACGATGACTACCAACGAGCGACAGGCGAGAGTCCTTGCCACTACGAGTGCACTGATGCTCTTTCCGCCATCCCTTCCTTTAATTAAATCATTAATTAACGAATAACTAGATTTGATATTTCTATAACACAGGTGACGGAGGTCGGCTGGAGCTTGTTCGCAATGGACAGACAGTTGAAACAATTATAAACGATACTACTACATTCGACTACAACAATCCACCAGCTCACTACTTTAGTGACCCAGTCCAGGTGTTGCCAGGTATGTGACATATAGCCATAGTTACATTCTCAGCGAGATGGACAACACTTGCATCCAATTTCAGTGATTAGGGATTAGAAAGGATTATCATCATAGCACTCCGGACAGATCTATAGGTGAACCGATCTCCTTCTCAAAAGCTCCACAAGTGTAAAACGATTAATGACGCCTGTTCTGTGTTCGTTAATAAAACGTCTTGTCCCCTTTGTGAAATGTTCATTTCTTGCAGCTCCAGGCTGCACCCCATGTCCATTAGTTTGAACAGGAATACGGAGTCATGTCATTTGGTGTGCTTCTCGGTACGGTAAGTGCAGCGCATGGCACTAATAACATCGCTTCTGTCCAGTTCTGGACCAGCCATAGCAACCGCAGTGTCAGCAAGATAGTCTGCATGCTCGTTCCCTTAAACACCCGCATAACCTGACACAAAGATAAAGGTTAGGGCAGCTATTTTGTTTTATTTTGATGTAACAATGGGTGACTCTCGCATGGTTTTCCAGTCTCGCTGCTCTAGTTGGTACACCTAGAGTATGCAGTCTATTCAGTTAAAATTCATTGTCCACAAAACTTTAAGCCACATAGCGTTTAGTCTCTTGTATGGCATTGATGATGTGTTTCCTGTCAATAGTTTGTCCATTCCTGGTAGTCGCACAGCCAACCAGAGCAACAGCTATCATTAGTTTACTTTTACGACATGCTTATTAGAGGCGAAACGAGTCTGTCCCCTCCCCCCCCCCTTTTTTTTTCCAACCCCAAATGGGGCCCTGAAACCAACACGGGGACGGGGCTCCACTCCATGTCATGTTTATTAGCAATAAATTCTACCAGTGTTCATCGTGTTTGGCTTTCCATTTTATCTGGCGACGTAGGCGATTCGTTGAAGGTGACGTGTTATTACAACACACGGGACGGGGGCAAGTACAGAAACAGTACCGTCTACTGGGACGAGGGATCTAGTGTGAGTTGTTTACTGTTAGGTAGTCATTGTGTAAACAGTCTGTCTGTCTGTCTGCCTGCCTGCCTGCCTGCCTGCCTGCCTGCCTGCCTGCCTATCTGTCTGTCTGTTAACAATTCATGGTTTATGGATGCTTAAAAAATAATGTTTTATAGTTTGGCTGGACTGCACCTGTCGGGGTGTACTGCAACTGAACAAAACAGAGGTTACCTCCCGCCAGGATGACGAGGTAATTAGTAAAATGGAAAATGCTGAAGACCGAACCTGGAGAAAATGATGCAGCGAGAAGTGTCTGAGCGACTCAGGACGCCACACGAGACTCGGGGGGGGGGGGGGGGGGGGGGGGGGGGGAGAGAACAAGTCGAGTAGTTAACCAGATGACAACAGGTTTCATCAGTATAGAAACTCTTTGCAGGCGTTGAGGAAGGAATCGAGGCTAATATTGGTTTGTTTGAATAATGTTATGTCGAATCCTTACCCTGATGGCCTAGGATAAAATACGCATGGTTATGAGACGATTGTATAATGTAGTGTTAAAAAGCTCTACACAAGCAATTCGTACTGTGATCATCCCAAAACATAGATGCGCAGTATTGTGCATGTTACTTGATAAAGGTTTGGGGCTCCTGGTAATTGGCGTCCTTTGGTTATTTGCTCCAGATATAAAGGTGTACTGGGATACGAACATGCAAAGAGACTGGCTGGTTCTGCACCACAGAGTGGTAAACTAATGCATGACAAACTAGACGACATCAAGACTATTTAGTAGCGCGTTAGCAGTGACGAAGCATAAATAGATCATCTCGGAGTGGGAAGAATTGGGCCCCGAGAAGTGACGAGAGGACCTGGCCAACACTCAGAGGAAAGGCAAGACGTAGATACAATCAGACTGCTGTTTGTACCATGGCAATGGGAACTCTGCACTGGCTGTGGAATATGGAAAAAGGGCGCTGTAAATGAGGGTTAATTCCCATGGAAACCCCAAAGAGTTTCCCGGTTTAGGGGACAAGGTCAGAGGGCCAAAATGAAACAAGAGACAGGGGGGGGGGCGGGGGTGGGACGTGTCCCAAAGATCCCGGGTTCCGTGAACAAGGGTAAAGGAAAAGCGTGGGACTGGAACGAACGTGTTGAACGGAGAGACGAGATAGTTATGGGACCTAGGCTGCACTCTCTCGTGGGACGTAGGTGGGTTGGGGTAAGGGAGGTGTGAGAGGTAGGTTGTCTGATGGTGCGACTGAGGTGAACTGGTGGAACGTCGTTTGGAAAGTTCGAGTGTCTGAAGAAAACTGATTCTGAAAGACAACGCCCAGTGTTTGAGAACATCTGTGTTGTGTTGATTCAGATGCCAGTTCCTGAGCTAATTGAACGTTCTGACTGGCATGTAGCTGCAACCATTGTTTAACTGCCATCTTGTCGTGGAAGGCTGTCGTCAGCACGTGTCAACGAATAAGGAGAACGGTGAACATCGACGGAATGATTATTGCTGTGCCACGATAAACGATACCAACGTCATCATCGTGTTTTAAATGTACAATCATGTGTCCAGTCTTTACAGCTTGTTTGAGGCGCGTATAATGTCCAGAAAGCAGAACGAGCTAACAGCAGCATTTTCACAGGCACTTGTGGGAACGCTTCCTAGATATATGATGTCACTCTCAAATTAGGTCAACAAAGAGGATAGAGGCGATGTGTGCATACTACTTTTGATTGCAAAAACCAATTTATTATTTGGCTACCTATTATTATTGGGCTATCTTTCGAATAACGGTCCCAAATTATCGAGGCCGAAAATATACCCTAACAGGGCCTCAGTCACATGTCAATTGCGAACTTCCTGGGACTATACGGCCACCGCCGAGAGTATCTCCCACGCCTCTACGCGCGACGTGGATTGAGGCTAAAACTAGATGAAAATGAAGGAAGCTGCAGGAGATGCGGTAGCTGCTGCTCGTGAGTTCCAGCCATCCAGTTTAGCCCCAATCCACGCCGCGCGTAGCGCCGTGGGAGATACTCTCGGCGGTGGTGAAATTTTCCGGATGTGCGCAATTTAAGTCGACGGAAGTCGGCAATTGACATGTGACTGAGGCCCTGTTAGGGTATATTTTCTGCCTCGATAAATTAGGACACTTATTCGGTAGATAGCCTATTATTGTTGACTGTTTATTACAAATACATCACAGGGTTTACGTCCCCCCAAGCACGAGAAGCTTGTTGACATCGGTGTTAACATAGCGAAAAAGAACGCTCGCCCCATGCTCACCCACTTATGCAGCCACTGTAACGTGTAAGAAATATTAGATATTGACATTCTGAAGCCAGCTGCGCACGCATTCTCTTAACATCGAATCGACAAGAAGGAAAATATCATGCGATACAATATCAAGTGTAATAATTGTCTAAACCGCTTACACGTGCCGCAGTCGATACGAGCCTCGCTTTCAAATCCAGCTGCGACTCACTGCAGCCCATGGTCGTTGTTTGAAACCGGGCGGTTCCCGGGGTTCACCCAGCCTCTAGGAAATGGGTACCAGAGTGACACTCTGGGGTAAATGGATGAACGTCGCTGTAGCTACAGAGTTACGTGCGAACGGCGACACAGGCGGACAGTTTCTTATTAGCTGTCCGTACTGGTGGCAGAGCACTTATGGTTTATAACCGTGTGCAATGACGATGGTTCACATCTCCCGACTTTACCTTTTTTTAACCTTTACACGTGCGACTCCTTGCCACTTTACACTTTGATGTCTTCAAAAGTTGTTTACTATCGACTACTGGCCTCATGGTTTCAGGGAGAGATGTGCTATGCCTTCATCACATACTTCCCACGTGTACCGGACTTTGACCAGTGCATTCAGTTTGACGTCTACGACATCTGTTCATCACATGGAGGTAGATCTTGTAATTCCTATAACATTCACATTCTCAGGTAGTAATCCTTCACAGTCGAGGATATCAACTTATTTTCACTGGTAGTTAACTTTCAGTGTCAATTTACCTTACATGACCTACATTTTAGGCGCGCGTCATCAGAAGTGTTATGAAGACAACATTTAAAAGTCTCCCCTTTATCTCATGATCATACCAAATATGAATTTATATTTACTATAAAATTGTTTTCTTCTTCTGTTTCCTTCTTCTTCTTCTTCTTCTTCTTCTTCTTCCAGCTTCTTCTTCTTCTTCTGTTGCTACCGTATGGTAGTTATTTTAGTAACGTCAACATAAAGCGTTTTATTTATTTTAGTGTTAACAGTTAAAAAATATTTATATGAACAAATTAGAGAACCTGTTTTAGAATCCCCTCTGACGATTTGAACATATTACCACTGCATCGAAAAGTAAGAGTTCTAGCAGCTGCACTATTGAAATCCCTGTAGAGGAGACTGGCAATGTCAAATAGATCTATGGTCCCTAGAAGTACTCTCGTCCTTTTCTGCATAGAACTACAGGTTACACCTGGCTGGGGTAGTCATGACGGGTGACATAATTATAAGTTCTTTGGAGATTGAACGGGGTATCTTCTATCTACCTTGTTGGTCTGACATTTTTTTTTAGTATCACGATGGTATGCTAAACCTTTAAGTGTCGGCTTGGACAAGGGAAGGGGGTGGGGGGGGGGGGGGTTGAACAAACTGATCAACCGATCGACAAATGTACTTTTCCAGATTCGCTTACAGTGGCCTTTAAAGCTTCTGTCATGGTATCTTTCTGGCTATTGATTGCCCTTGGCTGTCGGCCCGAAGGTATTGTGTTCGAATCCTCAGGGCTGCCCCTGTGGGGGCTGGGGCTCTATTGTGGGGATAACAAGAATAGACCTATTGCCCCCAAAGCCAGCATGTCGCAAGAGTCGACTAACTGGCAGGTGGGAGGGTGTCTTTCAAAATCGGAATACATCTGCTTGAGAGGAAAAGAACCAAACGTCTGCATACAAATAAGCCAAATCTGATAGAACGAATGTGCACACAACACTCAGGTTTTGGAACAATATTAAGTACAGAGGTGAACGAACAACTAGAACTGCAGGAAAACCTTTTTAAAACAAATTACCATATCTCATCGGTCCACCCAACCTAAAATGTTTATCATTTAATTTAATGGGAAGTAAAGGCGTCTATATTTATGTTGCCCCTATCAGGTCTCATTCTATCTCATCTTGATCCGTTTATACCTTGCGGGGTAGAGGTGCGGTTTAATTTACGGGAAAGTGCCGTTTGTGCTCTTCGTAAATGGCGATTCCCAGGGACTCAGTAATTCCCTCTGTCCATATTTTGCATGGTCGGCCTTTTCTTTGCTTGACACCTGGACATCATTACTTTCTGTGGTATATTGTCTGCTGACATCCGCGTTGTATGGCCAAACCGTTTCACTTGTTCTCTAGTAAAATTCAGATCTACCGCCATTCCTATTCTCCTTCGAATTTGATCGTTTCTGATTGTATCTCTCGTTATATTAAGAGCCCTTCGCGGGAAGATTGTGACCTGTGACGATTGTTCTGTGAGAAATAGGAGTGTAACAAAAACATTTCCTGGCGTCATTGAAGTGAGAAAAAAAAAGTCCGTTAGTTACCATTCCTTAATCTACCAAAACATGAGTGAGCATGAAAAAAATTCTGGGAGTAAATGGCTCTAGAGAACTCTAGGGAAGCATTAAACAGAACATCACAATAATAGGGGTTAGCGAATGAGATGTTAAAACATATAAAGACAGAATAATGGTATCCCAGGTCACTTCAATAATGCGCAAAGACAAACTAAACAATATATTTACTATAATTGTTTGAGAGTACATTAAAATATTTACTGAATGTGGCATTCTTTACTTCGTATGATAACCAAGAGAAGATGGAAATGGCTTTGCCACGTTATGAGAATGAATCCTTATATACCTGCCAAATCAGTTCTCATATGGATACCAGAGGGAAAGAGAAAAAAAAGAAGCACCCAAAAACAACATGGAGACGAACGATGTAGAGTGACCTGAGTGCGGCATCTCTGACATGGAAAACTGCACTGAAGACTGCACAGGACAGGAAAGCATGGAAAGTCCTCTCTGAAAGATCATGTGCCACTAGGCATAAAGAGAACTGATATATTAATGTGATATATTCTATACTTTTACAATTAATACATAAGATATGCAATATTGCATAACCAAACATAATTGGTACTCATAAAAATCCGTTATTGAAATAGAGAAACAAAACTTTCTATGTCCCAGTTATAAACCGAATGGATTGAACAGGATACTGTTGTTTACATTGCTAGTACTATATTTGTTTTTTGGGAGTCACCGTGGTGTAGCGGCTAGACGCTGGCCTGCAGCTTGAAAGGTCGTGAGTTCGGGTACTGGCAGAACCGGGCTTTCTTCAAAAATGACCTTGGCTCCGAGGTCAACCCAGCCTTGAGTTGGTACCATGTGCAGTCCGGGAAGTAAAGACGGCCGGTTTGGTCTTTACCACATCATCCACTAGTGCTTATTAGTTTTAAAAATATATGTCTAGCCCTATATTCCCGATCAGCGTCCGTGGCTTAGGCGTTGCGAGTTCAACTCGTAATTCCAGCGTAACGCGATCAAAACCCACTGTTGGCTGCGTGGATTTGTATCATGGTATGGGGCGTCGCAGGTCGACCCAACCTAAAATGGTACCAGGATGGTTGTCCTGGGGAATGAAAGACGACTGACGTAACGCTGACCACATTACCCACCTAGTACCGATGGTCTGAAAAAAATATGGGCTCTCTTCCCATATACCCGATGCTCCTAAAGGCGTGAAAAGGAATCTTTACTTCTTTACTTTTACCTATATACCAAAACGCCTGAAGCTGTGTAAAGGAGTCCTTCACTTTTACATTTCTTTACAAATGCATTTATCTGTTGTCCTATGATGAATGTTTATATAACTAGGGCTAGTGGGTGGATGCTCCTTCGGAGGCTTCGCCCGATCCTTCAAGAACATTCTGGCAGAGAGTATACTATCTCACTGCAGCCTCCCTTCAACTAACCAGAACGTGAGCACTAGTGTGGTTCAACAGAAAGCTGACGGCCTTGATTTGAGGATCCTCTGTTCGCCGAGTTGCGAGGAGGCAATCCAACAGATGACTGGCCATCCTTGTATGCAGGTGGGGATTGTCTCGTCAGTCTGGCCTTGTTTGTATACATGTATTAAAGGGACTGACGACTGCGATTATCTGGAAGTTAATTCTCAACTCCACGATAGCCTAGGGATGGGCTTCGAAGTCGGAGTGCATCTGCCTGAGAGGCGAGGAACCATCAGTCTGCACCGAAGTAAGTCAAATATGTTAAACGGAGCTGCATGTAAAACGCAAGTTCTGGAACAAGACTAATGTTCGGAAGCAGACGAACAAGTACAACTTTTCCACTGACGCTTACAGTTGTTTAACGCAAACAAGAAGAAGAAGAAGAAGAAGAAGAAGAAGAAGAAGAAGAAGAAGAAGAAGAAGAAGAAGAAGAAGAAGAAGAAGAGAAGGAAGAAGAAGGAAGAAGAAAGAAGAAGAAGAGAGAAGAAAGAAAAAGAAGAAGAAGAGAAGAAGAAGAAGAAGAAGAAGAAGACGACTTAAGAAGAAGAGAAGAAAGAAGAAGAAGAAGAAGAAAGAAGAAAGAAGAAGAAGAAAGAGAAGACGAAGAAGAAGAAGAAGAAGAAGAAGAAGAAGAAGAAGAAGAACAAGTACAACTTTTCCACTGACGCTTACAGCTGTTGAACGCAAACAAGAAGCAGAAGAAGAAGAAGAAGAAGAAGAAGAAGAAGAAGAAGAAGAAGAAGAAGAAGAAGAAGAAGAAGAAGAAGAAGAAGAAGAAGAAGAAGAAGAAGAAGAAGAGGAAGAACAAGAACAAGAAGAAGAACAAGAAGAAGAACAAGAACAACTTTTCCACTGACGCTTACAGCTGTTGAACGCAAACAAGAAGCAGAGGAAGAAAGAAGAAGAGGCAGGAGGAGGAAGAGGAGCAGGAGAAAAGGAAAAAAAGAAGACATGGTTTGCATTAGGTGCAGTTTCCATGAATTTCACATGTGATTTTCCCAGGCTATTATTGGTCGCTTTACAATATGTATATGGCGGACTGGAAATATAACAGCCGAAAGCATGGTATCAGGAAGGAGGGGCAGGGGCCGACCAGTCCGAAGATGGCACAGGATATAAGTGATTTTTTGAATATGAAAGTGCACAAGGCGAGAACGAGTTTCTTTCAGGCAGACCGTGATGAGAGCGACGTTCTGCACAGGACTAGCTACATGATGATGATGACTGCGTTCTTAAAGTCGTCCCCTAAAACTTGAACAGACATCTCCAAGACTTATGTAGGGATCGACACTAACTTCTGCTCGTGGTCTTAGGTTTCCCATGTTTTATCTTTGATTATTTATAATTGCACAGGTGCTACTGTTTTCTCATGGCGGCAAATGTATTTGATCTCTGTTCGGCTAATAATTTGCGTCCCCCTGAAATATAGAGTATACCGTTATTGACAAAAATCTTGACTACTAAAAATAAGTGCGCCTTGGTTTTCCTGTCGGAATACCTCTAAAACACGTACACATTGATATTTTGCGTCACTCCATTAACTGCAAACATGCTTACTGTATGCTTTGGATTTATGTGGTTTTTTTTTTTTTTTTATGGCGGCGTCCGTGGCTTAGGCGTTGCGAGTCCGACTCGTAATTCCAACGTACCGCGATTGAAACCCACTGCTGGCTGCGTGGATTTTTATCATGGTATTGGGCGTCGCAGGTCGACCCAGCCTAAAATGGGTACCAGGATGGCTGTCCTGGGGAAGTAAAGATGGCCGGCGTAATGCTGACCACATTACCCACCGAGTGCCGATTGGTCTGTAAAAATATGGGCCCTCTTCCCATATACCCGATACGCCTAAAAGGCGTGAAAGGACATCTTTACTTACTTTACTTTTTTTTTTTTTTTTTTTTTTTTTAACATTTTAATATGTACAAGGCAAATAAGGCAAAATAAAAACTAGAAAGTTGTTTACATTTTATTTCTTTTCCTCAAAGGACAAGATTATTTACAGCTTGATTCTAAATTTCAACAATTTGTACCGAATGGTTATGGTTGGGCAGAAATTTTTAAGCGCACTGAATGTGATTTGTGCGTGGTGACATCGATATTAGGTAAATTTACTGACAGTACAAACATTATTATTACTATATTATTGTGAAATATGAAATGAATTAGCCAGCTATATTGGATTTTTCCCATCCTTAGAACCGCGTGGGTTCGCACATGAGACGAGTGTATTTGGCAGCAGTCGACAGTTGGCAGGCCGTCAAAGTCATCATCGATACGGCAGCCAAACATTGTGCTGATTAAACTGTCATTTTGTCTTGCATTCAACCATAGTTCCTACAGTTTATAAACTGTTACTAGATTGATCTATTCACGTTATTTGTATTTTATTCTCTTCCTTCTACTGACTGGTGTGCAGAAATGGGTGCTGTCATCAACTCAGAAAAGGCAGCTGTTTTGTGGTGCTCTCTTTACAGTAAAGTAAATTTTAAAAGCTTTCCAAACCTCACATTTAATGACAGTATTATGAAAAGAGAAAGCAAACTGAGATACCTGGGTATCATTTTCGATAGAAGCTTATCCATCAGGGATCATGTGGAGGCAGTTGCGATGAAATGCCAAAAGGACTCAATGCTCTCAAGATGATGGCAGCAATGGACATGAACAAAGAATGTTGTCCACAATGTTTAAACATGTGATCCTGTTGGTGATAGATCATGGACTTAGCATGCTTGCTATATCAAAGAGTCAGCTGATGAAACTTAAACGCATACAGAATGAAGCCATACGGGTAACTCTCTGATGTACAAGCGATACCCCGGTCGTATGTATGCGATATATACTTGCACTGTCTACTGTTACAGATTGGCTCAAAGTTCTGCAAGCAAAGTCATATCTCAGAGTAGCTGCGGACAAGAAGCACCTCCTGCATGCAGCAATGGGTAGAGCTAAGGGTCACAGACTGAAAAGAGGAGAGTCTTGGACGGCGCAAATTAAAGACACAATCAGACATGTGTGCAGGCTTGGATAATTTTGTGCGAATTGAGGAGTGGGTCAAAGTGTCCGATAAGGTTTCAGATTTGTGTAGGGTTCTAATGTCTTTGGAACGTGAGTGTAGGGACTGGCCAGCTGGTGCTGCAGAATCAGAAGTTCAACAAATGATTCATGACAATTCCCGCCCAAGTGATGTGATTGTCTATAAAGATGGCTCCGTGTTGAGGGGCAGATGAAGTGCATGGGGGTTCATAACAAAGGCGAATGTACGTTGCTTAGTGCAACAAAGCCTGTCATACGATATCACAATGTCTAGTTTGAGAATGGAGGTGAAGACAGTCACTGCTACCTTCCACTGACATGAGAATCAACTGTACACACATGCCATCCATGTAACTGACATACAGAGCATATTGAGAAAGGTGGAGACAGGCATGCTTCGTGCAGAGTGGCAAGCATCACTTCAAAAGTCCCGTGTTGTTAGCATCCTTTGGATATTTTTCCACGTGATGCCGGTGTGTTGGGAAATAAGCACGCACATAGATTTGCTGGTTCTGCACCACTTGATGGTGAACTGATGTATGGCAAGCTGGATTGAGTAAACGGTGCCGAGGCACAGATAGATCATTACGGTCTGAGGAGAATGGCACTGTTAGGAGTTACAGTGGGATCTGGCCGACACTCGTCACTCAGGAAAAGGCAAGACGGATATACAGTCAAACAGTTTCTGATGCCATCAGAATTTTAATTCTTCGCTTGCTGCTGGAGATAGGGACGGAGTGGTTATGGAACGTGTCCCGAGTGCTGTGATGTCTATTCTTAATTCAACATGCAACATTCTTCTGTCGCCGGCCATGTCTGTCTGACGATTTGTGCTGTGATTTTCTACTGCTGTTAACTGTCACGTAGCCTCGGAACTCTTCTACTTCTTCGCACTCCCCATCAGTAAACTCCAGCAGAAAGTCCTAGTTGCTCGTCCGCTTCTCGGCTTGGTTTGTCCAGGGCTATCCGTTTCACATATCTGGCTTATTTGTGTGAAGACTGTTGGTTCCCTGCTAGTCAAACAGATGCATTCCGACTTCTAAGGTGCCGTCGATCCTTTATGTGTTGGCTGGCACGCCCCCTCCTCCCAATTCCCCCACCCCTAATGGGGGGGGGGGGAGGGATCTATTTCTATGATGACCACCTTGATCCTGGTGTATCTCCATTTGTGCATGAAGCATTGTTGACCCCTGTCTCTTAAACACTCAATCTCGTGCCTGAGAAATTGGTGGGTCGAGTGTGTAACAGGGTTAAAGAACACTGATTTAGATCAAAGCAAAAGAGCACTTCAGAGGTGTCCACTATATAATCTCCGTTCTAATGTAGGGCACAGCTGGGTTTTTTAGCCTTATTCCAGCTGTCGGAGGTCGTAAAATCTACAGGTTAATGGAGCTTCTTGGTCTTGCACCTATGTGATTTTCATCAGAGTGCTGGCTCTGTGTGTCACCGGATTTTTATAGCTCGCTGTGCGGTCCTTGGTGGGGGGGGGGGGGGTGTAAACGTAAGTCAGTCAGTTGGTCGATCAGTCAGTCAGTCAGAGGTATCCCCTCATCCCGGTAGTCTCTCGGTTTTCAGGCACGAGATTGAGTTTGTAAGAGACATGGGTCGACAATGCTGCATCCGCTGACTGAGAGCTACAACAAAAAATTTTAATTGGGGGGGGGGGGGTAAGTAAAGTAAAAGTAAAGTTCCCTTTTCACGCCTTTCGGCGCATCGGGCATATGGGCAGAGCGTCCCATATTTTTACAGACTATCAGCACTCTGTGGGTAATGTGGTCAGCATTACGCCGGCTGTCATTACTTTCCCAGGACAGCCCATCCTGGTACCCATTTTAGGCTGGGTCGACCTGCGACGTCCCATACCACGACAAAAATCCACGCACCCTGCAGTGGGTTTCGATCGCGGTATGCTGGCTTACGAGTCGGACTCGCAACGCCTTAGCCACGGACGCCGCTGGGGGGTGGGTGCGGGGGTCGAATTTATCCAGAGCACAGAGGTCCCAGGTAACATATTTGCCTGCGGAACACAGCAGTGGCAAACAGTGATCATGATTTGGATCTTGAGATGCCTGAAAGTGGTGTTTTACATTTTCTCTTCTACTGTCTAGGACCTAGAGGTACCCTAAACTTGCTTGGTATACATGCTGTATATGCACTCTAGATTTTCATGATTCTTTATAAAAAGAAAATGTGGTAAAGGCAACAAGTAGTTTCCAGCTGAATATCAAAAACAGTAAAAGTAAAAAAAGACAAGGGTTCTTCTCTGCAGGGGCCATGAAATATGTCATCAAAACCTTGACAAAGGATATGTGAATACTAAGTTACACAACTACAACAATTGACTACAGTTACATAGCAACGCCTAGACACTACGTGTACGGACTACAAGTTCTATCTTGAATCAAGCAAATGACTATAACCATCACATTTAACATGTGTTTCACAAATAACAATACACTAACAATCAAAATCGTGTCCACACACACACATGTGCTAAGCACCTCATCTAGCAAAGATGAAAATTCGCTTCTTGCGAAATAAAATCTAATTTCTCCGAGCGATGATACACACTGATGTAAATGTGTGTGTGTGTGTGTGTGTGTGTGTGTGTACCACAGTTTAACTACTGAAAGAAATCTAACTATGGAAACGTACCACCGCTGTAATCAGTCAGACAAACCTCCCTTAGCCGTTCAGTTACCCGAATACATGCTGCTGAGCCCATATACAGTGCTGCAGCCGCTGAGTAGAATCTACTACCCCTGAGCGACGGCGGGGACAGAATACGGAAAGCTGGGGGGAAAAAGTTTCCCACTTTTATAACCTCTTGTCAGATTTTTCTCGTAAGTACAGCTAAACAAATAATTATAAACGGCCTTTGGCGTCCTGCCACACTAAGATCTGAAGTAGAAAGAGGGGAGAGAAGAGGGGGAGAGGGTGCCCAAAGAACACTTGGGGTAAACGCTGAAGGTACATGATCCTTTTTTAAGTGCATAGTATTAACAATAATGTGTTGAATGGAAAAACACATAAAAACACATTTGAAATAATATGAAATACTTAAACAAATGCTTAGAAAGACTTCTATCAAAAGTTGATCCCCTGGCAGAATCTCGGGGAAGGGGGGGGGCCTAAACCCACAGGCTCCAATATTTCTCATGTGGATAGGGGGGCCATAATGAAAACGAAACATACCACTGATATTTTGAGCTGAAAACGGGACATACCAAGCACGTCAGTTCACCCCACTTTCCCCTTCCCTCCCTGCCTCCCGCCCCCATTTTTTTTAGGTCATCAGAGTAAACGGGTAATTACTCCATCGACAATGGTTTTAAAACCGGAACCAATGCCGTAAAGAAATAAACGAAACAATATGCTCTTTAACTGTGAGGAAACATGATGCTACGGTGAACATCATCATCAATGCTTTTCCGGCTTTAAAGGTATCTGCAAATATGAAATCTAATATCTACAGATATAACTATTATAAGTCTTGCCACTTAATCGCGATATTATTCCTAGTTTTTTTATAGAAACTGGACTGACGTCACCAATAGCGCTTTTAATGGTACTTGTTACCCCATGATCGCGCCTGACTCTCTAGCGTAGTCGGTTAAATCTGACTTCATGGTGACCGGGTGACGAGCTCTTTGTGGTCCTGGTTCACTTCCCGGGGGTAGGCAGAAAATATTTAATTATGTCAATTCTTCTCACCACACGATAAACTGCTAGACAACTGTGCAGACATATGCACTCGTGGAGTAAAGGCAATGATGGGTCACAAACATTTCTTGTTCTTCTCTTGTCACCAGGTTGTATCACAGTGTCGTGGTTTTCTAAATTTGTCTTCTGCATCTCGGGTGGCTTGAGTGATGGATTTCAGGGCCGTGTCGTGCTATGATACAGAGATGCGGCCACATCAGACAGCACCTTAAGAAGGCGACATAAGCAGCTGTGTACACATAATCTAGATCTGTAAAACGGATGTGCATGCAAAACTCAAGTTCTAGACCAAGACCTAAGTCCAGAATTGAAAGAACAACCAGACCCTTCCTGGTCAAAATGGACGCTAGGCACGGACACTGTTTGGAGCCGATGCAAATTGTTTGCTTCTGCCAGACGGTGGCCGTTGCATTTTTGCTCCATTTGTAGATTAAAAGAATATAGTTTCGTCTCCCCCCCCCCCCCCCCCCCCAACGCCAAGAATATTGCTTTCCAGGAAACTGCCTACGAAATCTTGAAGACCCCGAGATGGGATGAACTGAAAGAAAAGTACCCTTGAAAGTCTAACCGAGTATATTGGCGCTGCATTTACATGTTGAATAAAAATCTTGTCTTATGAGGATAAATTAATATTGCTGCCTTTCTCAACTACATATCTATACGAAGCCAGATTATTGCTGCCCTTCTCAACTACATATCTATATGAAGTCAGATATGTATTGCTGCCTTTCTTAGCTACTTATCTATATGAAGCCAGATAAGTATCGATGCCTTTCTCAACTACATATCTATATGAAGTCAGATATTTATTGCTGCCATTCTTAGCTACTTATCTATATGAAGCCAGATAAGTATTGCTGTCTTTCTTAGCTACTTATCTATATGAAGCCAGATAAGTATCGATGCCTTTCTTAGCTACTTATCTATATGAAGCCAGATATTTATTGCTGTCTTTCTTAGCTACATATCTATATGAAGTCAGATATTTATTGCTGTCTTTCTTAGCTACTTATCTATATGAAGTCAGATATTTATTGCTGTCTTTCTTAGCTACTTATCTATATGAAGTCAGATATTTATTGCTGTCTTTCTTAGCTACTTATCTATATGAAGTCAGATATTTATTGCTGTCTTTCTTAGCTACTTATCTATATGAAGTCAGATATTTATTGCTGTCTTTCTTAGCTACTTATCTATATGAAGCCAGATAAGTATTGCTGTCTTTCTTAGCTACTTATCTATATGAAGCCAGATAAGTATTGCTGTCTTTCTTAGCTACTTATCTATATGAAGCCAGATAAGTATTGCTGTCTTTCTTAGCTACATATCTATATGAAGCCAGATAAGTATCGATGCCTTTCTTAGCTACATATCTATATGAAGCCAGATAAGTATTGCTGTCTTTCTTAGCTACTTATCTATATGAAGCCAGATAAGTATTGCTGTCTTTCTTAGCTACATATCTATATGAAGCCAGATAAGTATTGCTGTCTTTCTTAGCTACATATCTATATGAAGCCAGATAAGTATCGATGCCTTTCTTAGCTACTTATCTATATGAAGCCAGATAAGTATCGATGCCTTTTTTAGCTACATATCTATATGAAGTCAGATAAGTATCGATGCCTTTCTTAGCTACTTATCTATATGAAGCCAGATAAGTATCGATGCCTTTCTCAACTACATATCTATATGAAGTCAGATATATATTGCTGCCATTCTTAGCTACTTATCTATATGAAGCCAGATAAGTATTGCTGTCTTTCTTAGCTACTTATCTATATGAAGCCAGATAAGTATCGATGCCTTTCTTAGCTACTTATCTATATGAAGCCAGATAAGTATTGCTGTCTTTCTTAGCTACTTATCTATATGAAGCCAGATAAGTATCGATGCCTTTCTTAGCTACATATCTATATGAAGCCAGATAAGTATTGCTGTCTTTCTTAGCTACTTATCTATATGAAGCCAGATAAGTATTGCTGTCTTTCTTAGCTACATATCTATATGAAGCCAGATAAGTATTGCTGTCTTTCTTAGCTACATATCTATATGAAGCCAGATAAGTATCGATGCCTTTCTTAGCTACTTATCTATATGAAGCCAGATAAGTATCGATGCCTTTTTTAGCTACATATCTATATGAAGTCAGATAAGTATCGATGCCTTTCTTAGCTACTTATCTATATGAAGCCAGATAAGTATCGATGCCTTTCTCAACTACATATCTATATGAAGTCAGATATATATTGCTGCCATTCTTAGCTACTTATCTATATGAAGCCAGATAAGTATCGATGCCTTTCTTAGCTACTTATCTATATGAAGCCAGATAAGTATTGCTGTCTTTCTTAGCTACTTATCTATATGAAGCCAGATAAGTATTGCTGTCTTTCTTAGCTACTTATCTATATGAAGCCAGATAAGTATTGCTGTCTTTCTTAGCTACTTATCTATATAAAGCCAGATAAGTATTGCTGTCTTTCTTTCCTAGCTACATATCTATATGAAGCCAGATGAGTATCGATGCCTTTCTTAGCTTCCTATCTATATGAACAAAGAAGACACAAACAATAGACTGCACAATTTATTGCCTGGCATATTTAGCTGTATCTCGTCAGGTGCATACTACAGTATGTGCAGTCTATTGTTTGTGTCTTCTTTGTTCAAATTCACATCAGGAAAACACTGCTTTGGCATACCTGTATGAAACTGCATTCGCCGCTCATACAATTAAGTTAGTTGCGTATTCTTTACAGGACGTTGCAGAACCAACCCTAACAGCCCCTGACTGTTGTGTGGTTTCTCTAGGCAATTTACATCCAGTAGTTTGCCTTTGCTTCTGGACGTTTGGCTTTCTTGATACCACTGTCGAAACCAATGCAAGGCGCATTGCCCGCAGCTGGGATCGAACCTGGCATCCCGGCATTACGAAGCGAAGCGTTCGCATCGACTTAGCCACAGAGACGACCCTCATACAATTACCTAATTTTAAAAAATGCGCTTAAAAGCAGGACCAGACATTGGCCTGTAATTGTTTAAATTGAGGGAAAAGGGGGGGGGGGGTTAAAACTGCAAAACTGTGCGACTTAGGTGTCTCATTAAACGTTTATTACTTATTCTATGGACCGTATTGCTGTTTTCACTAATAGTGTCGAATAAAGAATTTAGTTCCTACAAAAAGGGTTTCGAGAGTTCTACTAGTGTGTCCTCCATTCTTTTTCCGTGACTGATTTCGTCTAGTTCATATACTTATCCCCGTGTGGGTTCTGGGGCCCTGTTATAGGGAAAACAAGAATAGACCCACTACCTACCCAAAAGCATGTAGTAAGAGTCGACTAATTGGGAGCTTTCTTCAAAGTCGGAGTGAATCTGCCGGAGAGGCAAGGAACCAGTAGTCTGCATACAACTGAGTCAGGTCTGTAAAACGGATACCAATGCAATACTCAGGTTCTGGAACAGGACTGCAGTCCAGAAGTGGATGAACAACCATAACTTTCCGCCAGAGTTTACAGATGGTAAACGCGAAGAAAAAGAAGAAGAAGACAAATTTGCTGGATTCGATTTTTTGCCTCGGCCATTCAGGGAGAGCCTCTTGTGAGACGTATCTCTTTTTATATCATTGAAAGCGTTGTGTAGCGGGTGGCTGCACTTAATAGTTTTAGTAAGTGCCTATATTTGAGACTGGCTGCATAAGGTTGGTTTTAAAAACAGTTATTATTAGATATATCTTTGACAGACAAATGTATACTTATGTGTGTCAAAAGTGGTCCATCACTTTCCATATTTAGTCCTTGGTAGGAACGATAACTCTCCCGGCTCCCGGGGATCATACTTCCGGTACAACTATGTCTGCTTCCCTGTAGGAGATCACAGACGGTTGCAATTGTTCTTTTTGAGAAGGCAGTAATTGAAACTATTTATTTGCGATGCAAGTTCAGGCGCAAAACAAACGTTTGATGTTTCTAATACACGCTTCGACTGCATAAGATATAAGTTTTCCAAAGGTGAAAATCGCACACTGTACACATTTTATTTTAAAATTTTTAACTTCTTAACTTCTCTTCCGGAGTCGCCCCACAAGAATAAATACATATATAATTCTCATTTATTCTTCAGATTTGTTATAATAATGTTATAATTATTTATCTGTTACTTTTTTTTTTAAATTCAACGTATGCCTAGTTAACAGTAATCTTTAGAACGTTGAGTGCTATTTAAGTAGCCAGATATCAGCTGTGTATCCTTAATTATATATGTAATGTAATATTGAATATTGACAGTCACAGACCAGGCCAGAGAAGTTATCTGGTACTTTCCTGCACTTTCCTTGCCTTTAAATTATTGTATCAAGAAAAGATATAAACCTGAATGAAAAGTATATTGGTAAGCTTCACAATATAATAAATACAAACAAAACGTGAAATTTGTTTTCTATTGAGCCTTCATCAGCACATACAAATTAAACAATGTTACATAGAAACACAAAATCACTTAGCTGGTATCTCGATGCGGCCAGGTCGGTTGTTATTCAGCAGAATGACCACACGTGTCAGCTGGAGGAACAAATATCCCCCTGTGGAGTATCAGGGGCCATAACTGGGGTGTAGGGTGTTGAAACTATGAGGGCAGCTTAAAAATTATTTTAACTAGGCGTAGGCCAAATTCTAAATTACAACAAATGACAGACTTAGAAGATGTACATTTAGAAATTTAAAAAAAATGAAATTGGAGGTGGATTGGACATCCGCTTAGAATGAATAGAAGACCGAGACAGGCAGGCGTTATGGACAAAACCGGAGATAGAGAGGATGGCTCAGAATCAAATTTAGTGGCGACAGTTTGTCTCTACCTTATGTGACTCTGGGCACGATGAGAATTGATTGATTGAGGCATAGGCCAAATTTACAACAAAACAAAGTTCAGAAATGATAGTCAATCTGACAAATAATGTTAAATCTTGTTTTCCATCATACTTGTCTCTTTTTTAAATTCTTTTTCACTTTCACCGGCTGTGAATTGTATCAGAAATGTGTGGTTATTTTCTCCACTTTTGGGCATGAGTTTTGCATGCACATTCATTTTTGACAGGTCTGGCTTATTTGTATACAATTAGTTCCTTGCCTCTTAGGCAGATGCATTCAAACTTCAAAGGAAATGCCCTGATTAGTCGACTTTTACTACTTCTTTGTTGGGTTGGGAAAGGGGGCGGAGGTGTTGCATTGGGTCTGTTCTTCTTGTTCCTTCCACAGTGGGGCCCCGGAACCGAAACAGGAAAATTGAACATGCAAATTGAATGGTGATATTTCTGAAAATTTGCAAAATTTGGTTTCCTCCACAGAAATTATTTCATCCTTTGTGAACCAAGTTCGTGATATTTGTGTCAGGGATGTCAGGAGACATATTCCAGCCAATGGAAAACCCTGACGAACCAAGCCAGCCTGCGACTCGGAACCCACTACTTTGTTATCTGTGCAATGAGCCTTATAGAGAGCCATGCATCTTTGGATGCTTTCATAGCTTCTGTTCTCAATGCTTGCTTGGCCGTGCAGCAGAAGGCAAAATGTCTTGTCCACTTTGTGGGTAAGTGTGATCATTACCGCTCGTATAACTTGCATCTTTTCAGGACTACGTTTTATTCCGGATGTTTAAATTTATTTTCAAGGCACTGGTAGCTTCTTCTCCTCCTCTTTGGCATTGTCATCTAACCACCTTAAGGACTCCAGCTCCAAATTTTTCCTCATGGTTTTACTCCGGAAGTAAGTAAAGAAAAGCACCCTTTTCCAGGCCTTCAAGCATTAAAGTGTCAGACCTGTTTATTTAGACCAATCGACCCTCAGTCTGTGATGTGGTCAACATAACGTAGGCCCCCTTTATTTCCCAGGACTGTACCTAGTACCCATTTAAGGCTGGATTGACCTGGAAGTCAAGGAATTTTTTTTTTTTAAGTATTCAGTGGGAGGGGATGGAGAAATAGACCCACTACACACAAAACAAGCAAGACCTGAAGGGCCACTAATTGTTTGTTTACTGGGGTCAGATGTTTTGGACCGAAAGGCACAGGTATCCCAGCCTAGTTTTAAACATGGGTGCGACAGGGATTCATTTTTTCATTGCACAGTTTTGTTTTTTTTAAACCTGATTAGACCATAAAGTTAGCGATAGCTATCACTAGAAAAGAAGGTTATTGGACCCTTGCAGAACAGCTTGATGATCTGGACTTCTCTGATGACATTTCTCTCCAACCCCACTCGTGAAATCAGATGAAAGATACATTTTTTTTTAACCACAATCGGGTTTTGGAACCAATAATCCAATTTCTTTTGATGATCTTCTACTTCAAATGTTAGAGTCATACCTCTTGAGCAGTAATATACATAAAGATTGGGGGGTTTGTCGGAGATATTAAAATGTGAATACAGAAGCCAAGAGGAGTTTTATAGCTCTAGGATATTCGTGGAAGTCCGAGAAAATTAAAATAATACTGAAGTTCAAATATTTAGCTCAAGCATCAAATCAGTACTGCAGTGTGGAGCTTAAACATAGAGAACAACTAAAACAGTTACTAATAAATTACACTTACACACATTAACTAGTTCCTGTGCAGAATGTGAGAATTAAAATGAGCTTTGGCAGAGAACTAAATATATTCCTGTAAATCAAGCGGCGAAGAAAAGATGCTGGCATTGGATAGGACACTCATTGAGAAAACCTGAAAACAATATAACTAGAATGTCTTTACACCAGAACAAACAGTCATATACATATAGGAAAGCAAAAAAACTTGAAGAAGGAAGCTAGAGAATGAAGTCAAAAAGTTGGGGAGTTGTGCCAGCCACCCCTTTTAAACACAGAATAAGAAGACACATCTATAACCACTTCCTTTTACTACCAAATGCCATTTGACTGGCAGTGTAAAGAAGACCTGTATTGTATAAAATGTCCCCATGTATAAGATGACCTCTATTATTTTAGCCCAGAATTAAATAAAAAGTTTTAAACGCACTCCATGATAACGACGACTCTCAATTTCAAACTAAAAAAATTTTTGAAAAACGTATCATCTTATAGCAGAAAAATATGGTAATAGAAATGAAAAACCTTTTAACTCTTTGAGTCCCAGGGGTTTAGCATCCCAGGCCCAAGGGGTAGTCAAGAGAGACGTAAAATCGGCGCATCATGCGTTCATTTGGACTCAAAGAGTTAAAAGAAACCCACGACTTTATTTCAGTTATGTGCATACATTAAAAGATGGTGCCTCTTTGCCACCCCCTGACCTCCTGCTGAAGTTCATGGTGGAGTCAACAACGGAGGAGAGGGCGCTGTGTGCTAACTGTGATTCAGTAAGTTGGCTGCGTTTTGTCTTCATGTTTTCTTCTTCCTTGGCTTTTTTGTCTCACAGTGGATTATCGGCTTTCAATCAACTCACACTGAGCTCTTCTGTCTGTCACTGAGAGTATGTATGGGTATGAATGCATATGTGTGTGTATACTGTTATATGAACATAAAATTACTGTATTGATAAAATACAATTGCGGTCTAAAAGAGGAATGTTTGGAAAGGCTGAATGTCAGATGGACCTGCATACTGAATTTTTGACTCTTCGAAAATAGAGTCTGTTTGTTCGCTCTTTCCCTGATTATTTCCACATGAAATCAAACTTTTAAAGAAAGCTTGTTGCTCATGTAGGCTGCAGCACCCAGTTGGACACTCCCCCGCCCCTCCCCCCCCCCCCCCCCCCCCCCCCCCAACAAGCAGGTTGTAAAAGGTAACTAATTATGGGTTAGCTGAAACTGATTGTTGTCTTTCATTAGGGGTGTCAGTGGATCTGTCCTCCCCAGCCCCTTACCCCCTTTTTTTCATTAGGCGTGTCAGTGGATCTGTCCTCCCCAGCCCCTTACCCCCTTTTTTTTCATTAGCGGTGTCAGTGGATCTGTCTTCCCCACCCCAGCCCCTCACCCCCTCTTTTTTTTTCATAAGAGGTGTCAGTGGATCTGTCCTCCCCACCCCAGCCCCTCACCCCCTCTTTTTTTTTTTCCAAATGTGACCCTGGAACTCACATAAAGAGAAAAGGTTCAATAGTTTATTGTTGGCTGTTTCCGATTTGGGTCAAGATAGCTTGGCTTAAGACTGTTGATCGCCGATCTGACAAGCCGCCTTTGTTAAACATCCTTTGTTTTAGAATCAGATTTGTAGCTCTAAATGTTATGATGCTTAGCTTAACTTGTTAAATGTTAAATGTTATGATGCTTAGCTTAACTTGTTAAATGTTATGATGCTTAGCTTAACTTGTTAAATGTTATGATGCTTAGCTTAACTTGTTAAATTCCAAGGACATCTTCAAAGAGAAACCCTGCTTAGAACCGTCATCAGGAAAGGCTCAACCGTGGGCCTAAAAAACATCCAAGGCCTTAAACGGTAAAACAGGTGGCAGCGAACTGCCAGACATAGAGAGCTATGACCTATGCGCATGCGCAGCCCTAGGCTTAAGAGGAAAGACTAAGTATACTATTCTTTGTTACCATTATGGGTCCTATGGAATGTTGGAGCATATTTTACACTGGCATACTAACACAGAAGCTGACCCACAGCTCATAAGATGCACCATCATAGACAGAAATCCTTTTTTTTTTTTGTCCTTGGGGGAAGGGTGGCGCGTTACTAAGTAACTATCCTTACAAACTTACAATGTTTTACTTCTGTAGTATCCTTGGTATTTGCCACATCTGTCTCATTATCTGCAAGTATATATTTTTGTTTGCACCTTGATCTTAGAGTATAAGTTAATTGCAAATGATGAATATTTTGCAGACATCAGCCCAAATGTTTTTCTGCAACACCTGTATGCAGCCGTTATGTAGCCAATGTCGTGAAGAAACACATCGCGCCAAGATGTTCTCGGCGCATGACATGGTGTTGCTGACAAAGCGAGCTCGAGAAGTGCACAAGAAATGTCGTAAGTATGGTAGTTTTTTTTTTTTTAAACTTTGGGTTGAAGTCTGTTGACAGTACCTTACCTGGAACTTGTGGAGAAAACATGACCAATCTAGGGCCAGTACAAGTGTGCTGAAGGAGCCAAACAGCATCCTAACCTGAACAGTTCGTGCCAACTGCACTGGCCATTCGGGCCTGAATCTTCAGTTCAAGACCACCACCTTTTTTTTTCTTTTGTCCGAATGCTTATGCCGTAAAGATGAGTCACATGTCGTCTCCTGGCTTTTTCTAGTTGTATAGCTTGTTTTAATGTCATAGTGCTTTTCTCTGGTTCTCATTTACTCCCTTCACCCATCTCTTTCTTGTTCGGCCTTTTGCCTTGAAGCCTGCTGTACACTTTAGCTGCTGGCTGATTTTGTTCCATTGTGACCAGATGACCAAACCATTCGATTCTTTGATGTTCTGTGAAATCATTTACCAGTGTGCCTACTATTGTTCTTATCTCTTCTTTGATCCCTCTGTCTCTTCTTGTTTTCCTGCCATGTCTCACATGTTGTCAGCTGAGACCTGTGGAAAGGTGCCCCAGACAGCAGAACATGAACTCTAGGACTGCACCGAATTCAATACATTAAGGCAAACCTTTTGGCCAGAAAGAACAACAGTGAAATGTAAACTCTGGACCACTGAATGAACTAACAACGACGGGGTAATTTATACCAGAGCCAAAGTTGCTGATATATAATTCAGGCAAATAGAAGAAGTATTGTAAATTTGCGTTTGTTTTTTTTTTTTTAGTGCTGTCCATGTCTGACAATGGTTTCGATAGCACATTTATCAGCTGCTTAATGCATGGTTTAATGTTGAGAAGCTGCAAAATGTGGTCATTGCAAGTTGAAGGTAATAAAAAGGCTGTTGAACCATAAATATTTTGTATACCCCATGTTGGTTCCAGAACACAATTGAGGGGGGAAACAAGAATCGAACCACTGCCTCCACAGCAAGTATGTTGTAAAGTATGAGAGCTTCCTTTGGAGTCGGCGTACATGTGCCTGTGAGGCAAGGAAACAAAATTCTGCATGCAAATGAGCTAGTTATGTAAAATGAATTTGCACGTAACAGATTCTGGAATAAGACTAAAATCCAGAGGTGAATGAACCAACCAGAACTTTCCCCCAGAGTTTACAGCTGGTGAATGCAAAGAAAAAGAATATTATATTTTGCTTCCATTACGAGGAAATACCATTTTTCCTAATGCATATAGAGAAACAATTTTATACATGGCTGTTGCATGTGAGTCTGCTTGAGATGGATCTTAGAGTGTTGGTGTAGAGCCTGATGGCAAATAGGGTCCCTTCTTGCTGCAGTCTTTGCTGGCATCTACAAAGGATCAATGAACCCAAGAGTGTCACTAGCAAACCTTAGCAAATGAAAAGATGTCGGGCAGATACAAGCAAATGTTTCAACCAAGTATTATTTGTCAGCTACCAAAAAAAAATCTGAACAATAATTAACTACAGAAATAAAACAAAGAAAAATAATCCACGTTGTGGAAAAGTTTTTTTTTTTTTATCTGTTTAAAAAGTAGATGATGGGCAAGCTTGAGAAAGGAATCCAAAAAGTGTTTATGTGATTGCGGGTGTGTGAAATGTAAATATGCGCCCACCACAGGTGTCTATACTGTCTTTTTCTTCTCTTCTTCTGTGTTTGCTATTTAAAGAGCGATGGGCACGCTGTTGCAGTTTACAGCAAGGCTGTGATAAACTGCACCTTTTAGTCTAAATCCAATTTCATCAAACTTCTAATTAATCGCCTTGTAAATCATGCTGGTTAGTAGACAGTGGGTCTGCTCCCCCCACCCCCAATGGGATCCCGCCGGCAGCCCCATACAGGGAGCATGTCTTTTTAGATAAAAGAATCTGTATATTCATCTTTGCTGAGTTCTTCTTCTTCATCTTCTTTCGTTCGCTTGAAATAGATTATCCAAATCTGCAATGTAATTCCAGTATGAACTTCCATGTCTGTTGTCTGTCTGGGTTCAGATAAGCAGTAGTTATTCCCCATGTTTTACTGGCACCTGCTCCTTAGTGGGGTAGAGAACAGCTTCTAACTCTTCATGTTTGGCATTTCAGTAAAGGCTATGATTGTTCTTATTGTTCACAGTTCTTCATGAAGAGCCATACATCATGTTCTCGTCAGAGAAGAAGATCATGCTTTGTATTAATTGCTTCCGAGACATGCGAATGTAAGTTCTTGAATGTCTGTAGCTTCATTTTGAAAATGTCACAAGATCTTATTTTGTTTCATTTCATGCTGTGGCAGACGCAACATGTTGAGCTTGTGCTGCAGGCATGGTCTCTGCGAGCAGTAGAGAGTGTGGCCAGTTGGTGGAAATCAAGCTGAATGGATCAGTGGAGGACATGTGTCACAGCGGTGATCATCGAGTCATCTATGAATTATTGACATAAACAGTTAGACAGAGAATGCCAAACAAATTTAAATAAACAACAACAAAGGAAAAAGTTTACATAGTTCAGATATCTTTGCAGCAATTTTACAGAATGGGTTACTAATAAACTACAAATATTCATTAACTGGTGCCTGCGCAGTATAGAGGGGATTAAATGGTATGATTGATAGAATCACTAATGTTCAGCTTTGTGAGAGAACTAAACAATGACCAATGGACCAAGAGGTGAAGATAAAGCGCTAGTGCTGTATGGGACGCACATTGAGAAAACCTGAGAACAATAAACTAGAATATCTTTGCACTGCAACTCACATATAAATAAAGGGATACCAAACAACATGGAAAAGGGAGCTAGAAAGAGAATTTAAAAGGTGGGAGGGAATAGGGTAGGCTGCATGCAGTAGAGAAGAAGAGAATGACTTGGCGTCAGTTGATTGAGGGCCTATGCTCCCTTGGGGGTTAGAAGGCTGATGAAGAAGTTGTACAGAGGGTAGAAGATTTTTTAGAGATAGACTCGAAATGGGAAGTGAAAGGGGGTTAGTGATGCGTTTAGCTGTCATCCTGTCATCTTTAGCCAAGCTACTAAAAACCTCAGTGCGATTTTCATGACTGTAAACAATATGTTTCTTCAAATACTTTGTTGGCAGTGCCAAATTTGGCCACTGTTAAAAGACCACCTAAGAAAACTGGTCACGTGTGAGATGAAATGCTTAAAAACAACTGCTGGGATTTTTTTTTTTTTTTTTGAGAAGATAAAAAATAGGAAATAGTGTTTAAAAAATATGATGTGTGGGCTAGGCTTCCTAAAGCACCGTGTAACACTATTGTCTAGAACAGAGCTGTTCAACTGGCAACCCTCTGAGGCATAGCAGCAAGACTCTGAGACATAGCAGCAAGCCTCTGAGACATAGCAGCAAGCCTCTGAGACATAGCAGCAAGCCTCTGAGACATAGCAGCAAGCCCTCTGAGACATAGCAGCAAGCCCTCTGAGACATAGCAGCAAGCCCTCTGAGACATAGCAGCAAGCCCTCTGAGACATAGCAGCAAGCCCTCTGAGACATAGCAGCAAACCCTCTGAGACATAGCAGCAAGACTCTGAGACATAGCAGCAAGACTCTGAGACATAGCAGCATGACTCTGAGACATAGCAGCAACCCTCTGAGACATAGCAGCAAGCCCTCTGAGACATAGCAGCAAGCCCTCTGAGACATAGCAGCAAGCCCTCTGAGACATAGCAGCAAGCCCTCTGAGACATAGCAGCAAACCCTCTGAGACATAGCAGCAAGACTCTGAGACATAGCAGCAAGACTCTGAGACATAGCAGCAAGCCTCTGAGACATAGCAGCAAACCCTCTGAGACATAGCAGCAAGACTCTGAGACATAGCAGCAAGCCCTCTGAGACATAGCAGCGAACCTCTGAGACATAGCAGCAAGCCCTCTGAGACATAGCAGCAAGCCCTCTGAGACATAGCAGCAAGCCCTCTGAGACATAGCAGCAAGACTCTGAGACATAGCAGCAAGACTCTGAGACATAGCAGCAAACCCTCTGAGACATAGCAGCAAGCCCTCTGAGACATAGCAGCAAGCCCTCTGAGACATAGCAGCAAGACTCTGAGACATAGCAGCAAGACTCTGAGACATAGCAGCAAGCCTCTGAGACATAGCAGCAAGACTCTGAGACATAGCAGCAAGCCCTCTGAGACATAGCAGCAAGACTCTGAGACATAGCAGCAAGACTCTGAGACATAGCAGCAACCCTCTGAGACATAGCAGCAAGACTCTGAGGCATAGCAGCAAGACTCTGAGGCATAGCAGCAAGACTCTGAGGCATAGCAGCAAGCCCTCTGAGACATAGCAGCATGACTCTGAGACATAGCAGCAAGCCCTCTGAGACATAGCAGCATGACTCTGAGACATAGCAGCAAGCCCTCTGAGACATAGCAGCAACCCTCTGAGACATAGCAGCATGACTCTGAGACATAGCAGCAAGACTCTGAGACATAGCAGCATGACTCTGAGACATAGCAGCAACCCTCTGAGACATAGCAGCAAGCCCTCTGAGACATAGCAGCAAGCCCTCTGAGACATAGCAGCAAGCCCTCTGAGACATAGCAGCAAGCCCTCTGAGACATAGCAGCAAGCCCTCTGAGGCATAGCAGCAAGCCCGTGGATCATTGCCAGGTGAATGGTATTAATGATCTTTCTAGGTTGAAGTTGGGTCTCTGGCCTTGACTGTCCCCATTTTCAAAATTTCAGCCCCTGAGTAAACTTAGTTGAATAACCCTGGTCTAGAACAACAGAAAAGAACCAGCAATAGATTATTTTCCCACTGTATTAACAAGTGTGTATTATTGTGATTTGAACAGTGAGAGTCGAGGACATTGTTTAGACTTGGAGACTGCTTATAAGCAGAGCTGTAAGAAGCTGGATTTGAGAGTTCAGGTAAGCACACATTTTTTGTTGTTGTTGATTCATATGTCTTTTGGATGATGTCTCTTCCTCCCGCCCCTCCGTTTTCCCCATTCTTCTTTAGTTGTTAATTTGGGTAACCACACAGGGCAGTCGTTGGCAGAAAACAATTAATCTATGGAACTATGGCATTTTTATAAAAAGAATACTTTCATGGAGAGACAACATGACAGATAATGAAGTCCTTAACGATCAAGACAGATTCAGAGTATAACTAATACTTCTTGCTCAAGGGCTGTTAACTCTGGCAGAAAGTCCTGGTTGTTCATCTACTAATGACTGATCTTGTTCCAGAGCTTGAGTTTTGCTTGCGCATCTGCTTATTTGTATCGTCCTCCTCCTTCACTTTTACCAGCTGTTAAAGTTCTGGTTGTTCATCCATTTCTTGGTTGTAGTCCTGTTCCAGCACCTGAGTTTTGAGTGTGTATTCATTTTACAGATCTGACTCATTTTTATGCAAACTGTGGGTTCCTTGCCTCTCAAGCAGATACACTCAGATTTTGAAAAAAGCTCCCAATTAGTCTACTCTTACAACATGCTTTTTGGTAGGCAGTGGGTCTATTCTTGTTTTCCCTATAAAAGGGTCCCGGAACCCACACAGGGTCTTGTCAGTTAAAATAAAGATATATATAGTCTGGTATTATTTTTTTAAAATACATATGTGACTTGCTTGTTCAGCTCTTTCAAGGGCACCTGTGGTTATAAAGTCCTAATCTTGGTAAAATGATGATGATTTTTGTCTTCATGTTTTTCCCTTGTCAGGCTTTCAGGGAGTTGCAGAATTCAGTCCGTGAGGGCATTTTGCTATTTAGGACCCTGTTGGAAGAGATCAAAGTCAATGCAGACAAGGAGAGGGCTGTCATAGAAGAGCTGTATCTTAGTCTGTTAGAGAGGCTGACAGAGACCAGGAATCTGTTACTGCAGAAAGTCAGCAGGTTTGTGAATGTTTACTGGTTGGTTGTGTTTGCTGCAGTATCACTACAGGGATGTAAGATTGTGTACAGGGGTGTGATGTTGTTGTGTACAGGGTTGTGATGTTGTTGTGTACAGGGGTGTGATGTTTTGTACATGGGTGTGATGATGTTGTGTACAGGGGTGTGATGATGTTGTGTACAGTGGTGTGATGATGTTGTGTACAGTGGTGTGATGTTGTGTACAGGGGTGTAATGATGTTGTGTACAGGGGTGTGATGTTGTGTACAGGGGTGTGATGTTGTGTGACATTGTTGTGTACAAGGGTGTGACATTGTTGTGTACAGGGGTGTGCGGTTGTGTACAGGGGCGTGATGTTGTTTGCAGGAGGGTAATGTTGTGTGCAGAGGTGTAACATTTTGTGTACAGGAGTGTAATGATGTGCGTAGGAGTGTTATCTAATTGTTTGCAGGAGTGTAACATTTTGAGGGGAAACAAGTGTAGACTCACTTCCCTATAACAAGATTTTGTAAAGGTGACCAGTTAGAAGTGTTTTCTTTAAAATTCAGATGCGAAGGCATAAGAGGCACAGAACCAGCAGTCTGCATACAAATAGGCCAGATCTCTAAAAACGGTTCTGAAAACTCCAAGTTCTGAAATGTGACCAAAGTCCAGAAGTGAACGAATAAACCAGAAATGAATTGCTTGTGTGTGGAAATAACTCAGTGAATTAGCATTGAGAGTCTTGACATAGCATTATGAGTGACCATGATCATGTGCCATGGCAGGACGTCGAGGCAGTAATATTTCTCCATCTCACCCAATCACAAATCAGGTGGCTGCTCTTGTTTTGCCCCCATCCATGTGGCCACACCATCTAGTTGATTTCGGTTTTTGTGCATGTGCATTATGGGGTATTGATTTGCATTCAGAGTGCAAGACAGAAATACTTTAAGATAACACTAGGATTCTCATTATCTTTTTGATTTATTTTAACTTTTCTTTCCATAGTCAGTACAGTGATAAAGAGGCAGCGTTCAGATCACAGCTGAAGTCGCTGTCTGCTCTTCTGCCAACCCTGCATGTCCATCTCGTTATCTCAAGTGCTTTCTCTGGATCCGCAAACAAGTTTGAATTCCTGGACCTGGCATATGTAAGTCTCCCACAGTTTTAAAGTTGTAGCTTTCATTTTCCTGACTTCTTGTGGCTGTACAACTCTGGTGGATAGTTTTGGTTGTTTGTCAAATTTTTTTTTTTTTTTTTTGGTGGTAATTCTTGTTACAGAGCTTGAGTTTTATGTGCACATCCATTTTTTTGGCTTATTTGTGTGCAGACTGTTGGTTTCCTGCCTGTCCCCAAATATGAGGGGATCACCCCTAATTAGTCACTTATTTCAACAAGCTTTTTAGAGTGCGTTGGGTCTGCGACCCCCACCCACCACCACTATGGGACTCTAGAATCTACACAGGGAGTATCGGGCATATAGCACTAGGTCTATAGTTTATAGGCCAGTCGGCACTTGGTGTGTGATGTGGACAGCATCACGCTGGCTGACTTTACTTCCCAGAACTTTACCTGCTACCCATTAAAGCCTGGGTCAAACTGGGAGCCAGTGTCATTTTTTGGGGGAAAAGGTAAGGCTCTGTTCAAAGTTTAAACCACAACCTTCCAATCTGCAGGTAAACCTCTATTTGCTACACCACTGTGGCTCATACTTAATCATAGTGAAAAAAAAAACTTATTATGATTTCTAAATAATTGAATTCTAAATGAAACACAAAAGAATTGCAATGAAAGGTTGAGGTTTTTCTTGTGTCACAGACACCTTAAATCTCTCTGCAGTCCCCTTGACCAACAAATTTGAAAGTTTACTGTAAATGTTTGTTAACTTAGGGCAATAAGTCGACCAAGGAAAAGATGGGTTTAGGAAGTAAAAGAGACACAGCAGAAATGCAGTATGACATTGACACAAGATAGGCAGCTAGCAAAAGACAAGAAACTTTGCCAACCTCTCTCTGCGGCATTTTACGCATTAGCCCGTGTTTCCCAAAATGTTCTTGGTCGCAACGCCTTTTTCCAGTTCAGATTTTTCCAAGAGGCCATAACCTAAGTAAAAGTGTGACTATTCGTTTGTAAGAGATTTAAAAAAAAATTAAACTCGTGATCTTCAGATATTTTGCGGCACCCCTGTGAAGAGGTTGCGAAACCTCGGGGCACCTCGACGCACAGTTTGAGAATCACTGGCATAAGCACAAAAGAATAACAACATTAAGTTAGTTTAACTCTCGCTTGTCACCTTTCATAGGTGTTGATCGAGAGGCTGAAGTCAATAGTACAGAAGCAGCATCCGCTGCACCCAACACAAAGTGGCCAGATAGATACAGCATGCAAGTCTGAGTTCTTCAAGTAAGTCAGCACTGTACTTTTGCCATCCTTGTCATGTGCCTTGTTAGTTTGGTAGAAGAAAGTTTTTCTTTTTTGACCTCACTCAGTCCTGCTTAAAACAGCTTCTGTTATAATTGTGGTCTATTTTTATTATTTTGTTGGGCCAAGAGCTGTGGCTTATTCTCCTTCAACTGTATCATTTTGCTCTGGAAATGTCTTGAGTCCTCCGCTGTGGTCTGGATAAGGGTTCTGCGTTTAGTGTCTGTTTTTCTATGTCTTACTGATTGCAGTTAGTTATTGTTTGTCATTTCTCATGATCCCCCATGATCTTGGAGCAGGTCTGTGTTTTATGCAGTCAAATACTGAAGACATTCACTGAGGGTGAACAGTTTTCTGCTTTCTCTATGGAAGCAATAAGAGACACAGTGTGTAATGGTGTGGGGGCACAGTGTGGGATCCTTTGGGGTCACAGTGTGGGATTCTGGGGTGCACAGTGTGCGATCGTGATGGTGAGGGATTCTGGGGTGCACAGTGTGCGATCGTGATGGTGAGGGATTCTGGGGTGCACAGTGTGTGATGGTGTGGGATCCTTTGGGGGCATTATGTGTGGTGTTGTGGGATCATTATGTGTGAGGTTGTGGGGCCACAGTCACATAGGTGCCAGAACCCAGGGGCAAACTGCAAGCATGTTGTAAAAGTCGACTAATGAGGGGTGTTTTCTTAGAAGTCAATGTGCTTCTGCCTGAGAAGTGAGGAACCAAGATTCTGTAAAGTGGATGAGCACACAAAGCTTAAGTCCTGGAATAAGACTAAAGCCTTGAAGTGGGCGAACAACCAGAACTGTCCACCAAAAAGTTTGATTTGAAATAAGACGGTATATGTTTAATAATGTGAATGAAAAAATGGAGACCCCGCCACAGTATTTTCCCCATTGCAACTAAGGAAATAACACAAACCGTACTGGAAGTCAAAAATTTGAACCTGTTGCTTTAGATATGAGATGCTTGTGCGGTGATTTTAGGACCTTACTTATTTTTTTGTTATTTTTCACATTTTTTAAATTATACTTTGTTTCAGAAGCATTGAGCCACTTTTGTACATGCCCTTACAGAGAAATACTCTCAGCTCTGCAGCTACAAATAGGTGGGTATTTCTGGTTGTTTATGCTGTTTTTTTTTTATAGAAAATTTAATCATGATTTATATTTATTATTTTTTTTAGTTTCTTCTTGTTTTTTCTTTCTGTTCTTTCGTATCACTTTGTTGACAGGTCAGTGTTACTACCGAATGTGGCCTCATTTTACAAAAATCACTCTTGTTGGAATTGAAAAGTAAACACTTTTTTCAAAGTGCCACTTGAACAGTCAGACTTTGTAGGGTCATAATCACACTGAATGGGAAATGCAGAGACTGGCCAGCAGGTGCCACGGAGATGGAAATTCAGCAAATAATTCAAAATAATGATCACTCAGAGGATTAAATCATTTACACAGACGGTTCAGTGTCAGAAGGCAAAAGAAGTGGTCGGGGCTTCTTAGCAAAAGTTAATGGTCGACGTTTGGTGCAGGAGAGCCTAGCATATGATACCACAACATCCAGCTTAAGAATGGAGGTGGAGGCGGTCACTGCAGCTTTTCGCTGGCTAGAAAACACAACACACACACACACACATCATGACTGTAACTGATTCAGAAAGCATGCTGAGGAAGATCAGAACAGGTATGCTTCATGCAGAGTGACATACTTCGCTGCGGAGGACACAGGTGAGGAGTTGTCTGGATTTTTTCACCGGGTGCGCCGGTGTGTTGGGGAATGAACCAGCGGACAGACTGGTCAGTATTACCAACTTTCCGTCTTCATTCATATTCACCGGCTGTAAACTCTGACAGAGAGTTCTGGTTGTTTGTCCACTTCTGGACTTTGATCTTCATCCAGAACTTGAGGGGCATATCTGTTTTACAGGTCTGACTTGTTTGCATGCAGATTGTTGGTTCCTCACCTCTCAGGCAGATGCACTCCAACTTCAAAGAAAACACCCTTAATTAATTGCTTTTTTTTTTCCCGACATGCTGGTTCGAGGGTCAGTAGGTCTAGTCTTCCCCACCCCCCAAAATGGGGCCACCGAACCCACACTGGGATAATACTGTATAAATTGATTAGCTTGTGCCCTTATGACCCCAGTTGTTTTCCTGTAGAAGTGTGTAAAACTCCAGCATTCTGCAGCAGTTTCTTATATGTGTTTTTTGTTTCACCAGCATGAATGGAATCAACACAGGGACCTCTTGCCCTGGAAGTCCTGTCACCCACAGACTGACCCCCAGCCACGCCAGGCGCACTAATGGGCTCAATGGAGCAAAGGTCAAATTTATCGATGCTAAGGGTCAGTTTGCTGAACACTGCAGGGAGTTTGAGAATGCTCACCGGGTAGGTTATTTTTGTTGTTTGTTCCATTTAAATCCACTGTTTTTAAGTTAGTTTTTGAAGTCATTTGTACCATTTTTATGTTTGTATCATTCTACTATATTCAGCAGTATCGTCATACTCCACTGTTCTCTTATCTGCAGAAGAAGAGAATAACCAGATCAATCAGTCACCGAAGCTGGCACAGGACGATTGCCAGATTATGTACAAAGCAGAGCAAGTTATTATCCTAAGCCTTGGAACAGGGCACAGTCAAACTCGCAGCCACATGTATACACAGTTTAAGATTGGTGAATCAGCAATGTGTACATGTGGATTGGCACCTGGGACAATAGATTACCCTCCAAGTTTGTCCAAATACAACAAATTAAGGCAAAATTTATGGCCAAGAGAGGAACACCTGGAAGCCTAACTTTATGGGCCGTTGAGTGAATTCAAGCTGAATGATGACATGATAGTCGTTATCATGTCTCTTGTCCAGCAAGAAAGGACTGGCAACTCTTGTCAGCCAGTAGAAACTGACAACTGTTGTCTTGACCAATAGAAACCGACGACTCTTGTCTCAACCAATAGAAACCGACGACTCTTGTCTCAACCAATAGAAACCAACGTCTCAACCAATAGAAACCGACGACTCTTGTCTAAACCAATAGAAACCGACGACTCTTGTCTCAACCAATAGAAACCGACGACTCTTGTCTCAACCTATAGAAACTGATGACTCTTGTCTCAACCAATAGAAACTGGCGACTCTTGTCTCAACCAAAAGAAACTGACGACTCTTGTCTCAACCAAAAGAAACCAACGACTCTTGTCTCAACCAGTAACAGACACCCTGAGGCAACCAGTGACTCTTCTCAGCTTCTTCAGAATCCCCCCATTTAAAAAAAAAACAGAAGCAGAAAAAAAGACAGTATTTACAGCACACGAGAATCTGGTAAACACACATTTGGGACTCCGTCAAGCTCATGAAATGTGCTAAGATTGATTGTTTGATCTTCTTGTGTGGATTCCAAGGGCCCTGTTTTAGGGGAAAATGATAGACCCACTGCCCCCATCTCACAAGTGTGTCTTAACAGATGACTAATTAGGGGTTGGCTAAAATCGGACGTGTTAGGCCGAAAGGCAGCCGGGCTGTAAACCATGGCATTGTGTGAAAATGCTCTTTCAAACACAGACTCCGCAAGTGAGTCCCAGGCCCTATTGTGTGGAAAACAAGAATAGGCCAAGTCCTCCCTGAGAGGCAAGGAACCAACAGCCTGAATATACACACACAAAAACAGATGTGCACACACAAATTGTGGATCAACACCAAAGTCCACAAGTGGATTAGTAACCAGAACTTGTGGAGAGAGTTTAAAGCTGATGAACTCTTAGAAGAAAAATTGTCATCTATCAGAGTAGGCCAAAGCATGTGTGTTGGAGCCATCTGTGTGACTTGAAAGTTGCTGTGAGCCAACAAGGCCCAAGCAGCACAAACAACCAGTAGAGTGCAAAGATTTGTTTGTTTTTTGTCATTACACAAACATGTGGAGACCGCTGAGGTGTAGTGCATGTGGATCTGAAGGTCAGGGTTTAAATCAGAACTGAGCAGGGTTTTTTTTTTTCCACAACTGACCTTTGCTCCCAGCTTAACCCAGCCTTAAATGGGAACTAGGTAAAATCCTGGGAGGCAAAGGCGGCTGGCGTGCTGTTGATCACATCACACTCTGAGTGCTGGTTTCTAAAATGTTGATATATCACAAGGATAGCCTGGAAAAGGGTCATTTGCTTTACTTACATAAACATGTTTAGTTTTATGGAGTTAGGCTGCAAATCTTGTGTATCCTCCTATAACAGGATCTGCTGCAGAGGTTCGAACAGATGAAGAGCCAGTGTCAGGAGCTGCAGAGGGACCTGACCATGCGGCGTTGTCTGGCCAAGAGGGATGAGGTCTTCAAGTTGACTGTTAGAATTGAGAATGTACAGAACCAGCTGGAGTTGCACTACAACACGCTGGAGCAGAAAATACCCTTGTTAGAGAAGGTATGTTGTGTCATCGGTAATTATCATTTGTTGGAGAAGATATGTTGTGTCGTAGGTGATTACTATTTGTTGAAAAAAGTTTGTTGTGTCATAGGTAATTATCATGTGTTGGAGAAGGTATGTTGTGTCATATGTAATTACTATTTGTTGAAAAAGGTATGTTGTGTCATAGGTAATTATCATGTGTTGGAGAAGGTAAGTTGTGTCATATGTAATTACTATTTGTTGAAAAAGGTATGTTGTGTCATAGGTAATTATCATGTGTTGGAGAAGGTATGTTGTGTCATAGGTAATTACTATTTGTTGGAGAAAGGTATGTTGTGCCATAGGTAATTAATATTTGTTGAAAAAAAGTATGTTGTGTCATAGGTAATTATCATGTGTTGGAGAAGGTTTATTGTTCCACAGAGAATAATTACATTGAATAAGGAATAGAATAGAATAGAATAGAATGACATCTCCTCTGGCAGCCCGTTTTAGAAAAACAGAAATAGACCAGATGCCTCTTAACAGGCATGTCATAGAAGGTAAACTGATATCACAATGTTGTGCTGAAAGGGTGTAGGTATAGCCACCAAGCTGTAAACTACAACACAGTGTGACAACCACCCTTATAAGAGTAAATGCTGAAGAAGAAGAATATCATGTAAAAAAAGATTTGTTAGTGAAGTTATCTGTTATCCTGGAGAAGGCTTGTGATCCTGGAGAAGGCTTGTGTTGTCAGAGAAAATAAAACCTTTGATGGAGAAGGTGTGTATTGTCAGAGAAATTACTTTTGAAGAAACGTTATTCCTTTTCTTCCTCTTGGCATTCACAAGCTGTAAACTCCACACAAAAAAAGTGGGGGGGGGGGGGTTGGGTTGGTTGGAGGTGGTCTGGTTGTTCATCCATTCTGGACTTTATTTCGTCTTGTTCCAGAACTTGAGTTTTGCATGCATGTCCGTTTTACAGATGCATACTTGTGGTTCCCGCAGATGCACTGTGGCTTTGAAGAAAACACCTCTAACTAGTATCCCCCCCTCAGCCACAGTAGGGCCTTATAACCCACACTGGGGCAATGTGGAGATAAAAGCCTGCAACTGCAAAAGATTTTGTTTATAAACATGTATTGACTTTGGTTCTTTCCCAGCACTGGGAGGAAAGCCTGGAGAGAATCAACAATGAACAAGATTTATATCAAGGTATTCTTTCTTCTTCTTTCATGTACAGTATATAAATCAGTTACATAAGACAAGAAAGAGAAGTTTGTGTTACCATTGCTGACGTCAGGCCAGAAGAACCAGTTCACTTGTTTAAATAATGTTTGCTTCAAGGGTGTCGAATATACCCAGCTGCAGTTAGGGCAATGAAAGCTTTACAGACGACAATGTAAACTATGGACATAGCAGAAACTTTCACTGTAGTATACCTAATGATTCTGTCAAACTGAGCATGAATGTAAGGTACCCGATCACCAAAGATAGTTGAGTACAGAATAAACAAGACTGCAAGGGGGATGTACCCATTACGCCCTAGGGGGGGACATTTGTAAGATGGAAATGACAAAAGTAAACAAAACTAGCACCTGTATAAACCAGGCTAGAAGAGAGAAAACTAAAGAAGACTGAGAAGTCTGTATGTATGGATCAGGTTAGGAGAGAGAAAACTTTTTTTTAAAACTTAGTTATCTCTAGGCCAAAGGAAAGAAAAGAAAAACAAGACTAAGGTATCTTTATGCATTATAATTTTTGTTGTGCTACTGCAAATGCCATAAAGATGAGTTATATTTAGTTCTCTGGCTTTTCCTGGTTGTATAGCATGGGTTAATGTCATATTGCATTTCTGTTGTGTCTCTTTGACTCCCTCTATCCATGTCTGTCTTGGTCAGCCTCTGGGTGTTTAGCCTACTGTTCTCATGAAGTAGGCTCTAGCTGCTGGCTGATTTTGTTCCATTCTGACCTAATGACCAGAGTGTTTCATCATTTGCTGTTCTATGAAATCGTTCTGCCGGTACTGTTGTTCTTTGTTCTTCATTTGTGTCTCTGTCTCTTCTTCTTGTTCCTGTCTCTTCTTCTTGTTCCTCTCCTCTTCTTGTTTCTGTCTCTTCTTCTTGTTCCTGTCCCTTCTTCTTGTTCCTGTCTCCTCTTCTTGTTCCTGTCTCTTCTTCTTGTTCCTGTCTTTTCTTGTTGTTCCTCTCCTCTTCTTGTTCCTGTCTCTTCTTCTTTTTCCTGCTGCATTAGGATAGAAAAGTCATCATCAAGTGCCTTGCTTGCTGGCATACGTGTCTATGCATCTCCACAGATCTCTGGTGTTGTGGATCAATTCCACTGATTCTGTTCCTCAGTGCCACTGTCTGAAGCCATCCATCATCATTTCTACCTCTTCTACCAGTGATCTTTCCAGCTGTCATATTTTCCAGTACTCCTGTTCTCATCACACGACCATTGAACTTTGTCTCCTTCTCATTGTTGTATAAATGTGTATGTTCTATTCAGAAGAGAAACAACATCAATGTATTTTATGTAGCACAGGAGAGCTGGTATTGATAAAACAAACACTCTTGCTCCATTATCAGCTCAGCTGCAGGATGTGATGAGACTCAAGCACGAGAGTCAGCACTTGAAGGTTGTGGTCTCTCAGCTGACCTCATTTGTCAATTCCATTGCTGCACTCACAGAGAGGCTGGCGCCAAAGTATGTGACTGTTTTTGCATATTCATAGTATACACCACAATATGTCGTCATCTCGTCTTGTTTATGTCGTCACATAAGGGGAGCATTTTGTTCTATCCTGTGTAGTTGTTTCCATATAAGGACGGAATCCAGTCCAGCGGCACTAGCCTCTCTCATTGTTCATTTCTGTGTGGGTTCTGGGATCCTATTGTGGGGAGAACAAAAATAGACCCACTGCCTCACCAACAAGCATGTCGTAGGAGTCGACTAATTGTGGGCATCCTTCAGAGGCAGAGTACATCTGCTTGAGAGGCAAGGAACCAAGAGTCTACATACAGATACGCCTTCTTCTACTGCGTTCATCCGAAGATGTAATTGCGTTGTGTCCGTTTACAGCATGGCTGCGATGTTTGCACCTTTCGGCCAACACATCCGAACAAATAAGCCTGATCTGTGAAACATATGCATAAAAACTAAGGTTCTTGAACAAGACTAAAGTCTGGAGGCAAACAAAAACCAGAATTTTTCTCCGGCATTTACAGCCTGTCAGCACGGAAAAGAAGAAGAAGATCATCATTAATTGTAGGGTAAATCACCGATGTCTTCATTTTTACAATCTAATTGTTTCTATTTTGGATTTTCTTTGTTAATTTCTCCACGGATTTGCTCATGTGGTGCCAGCTTCTTTTTTCCTCTTCTTTATTTGTGTTCACTGCCACAAAGTTTTTCTTCATCCACTTCTGGACTTTTGTACCAGGACTTGGGTTTCCTTCAAAGTCGGAGTGCATCTGCCCAAGCAGCAAGAAACAACCAACTGCAGATAAATAAGTTAGTAAAACAGATATACACACAAAACTCATCCCTGGCACAAAGCCAAAGTCCGGATGGACGACCAACCAGGCAGAGCTTACAGCCCGTGAACAAAGAAGTACCAGAACTTGAGTTTTACATGCACATTGGTTTTACAGATCTGGTATTATTTGTGTGCAGACTGTTTGTTCCTCGCTGCCAGGTAGATGTACTCTAAATTTAAACCACCAATAATTAGTTGATTTTTACGACCTGCCCATATTAGTCATATTTCTTTACAACAGTAAATCTGTATTAGACTTGCAGCCAAAAGAGGGCTTAGGTTTTGTCTTTATTGATTACAGACCCCCTTCAGTTTGTTCCACATACCCCGCTAGGGAACCTCTGTTGTAGATGATACATTTCCATATCTTTCACCTCAGGCTTGGACAGTCCAACCAGACGATGGAGCAAGAACAGTGTATGGCTTCACTCCTGGAAGAGATTAGCGCGGTGCAGCCAGACAGTCAGCAGAGGTAGGATTTCTCTTGCTTCTAGAGCATTATCCCAGTTTCTTTCATCCACATATAAACATTTGTAGCCAAGCTTTGCATTTTGACAGATTAGAGTGACTGTGTGCGGTTAAGTAATCTTCTTCTTCTTCTTCGCGTTCACCAGCTGTAAACTCTGGCGGAAGGTTCTGGTTGCTCGTCCACTACTGAACTGCAGTCCTGCTCCAGAACCTGAGTGTTGCGTGTGCATCAGTTTTACAGATCTCATTCTCTTGAATACAGAATGTTGGTTCCTTGCCTCTGCGGCAGATGCACTCCGACTTCAAAGGAAAGCTCCCCAATTAGTCGACTCTTACGACATGCTTTTTGGGAGGCAGTGTGTCTATTCTTGTTTTCCCCACAATGGGGCCCCGGAACCCACACGGGGGCGGTTAAGTAATGATGTGCCTTCTACTCCCCGTGAAAATTCCATGGGTCACATTGTGAGGGGTAAAATCAATTTTTACTAACTGTGGATCTATTTAATTTTTCTTTTTTCATTCGCTTAAAATAGATTATCTGTATCTGCAATGTTGTCTCTAGTATGAACTTCACTTTTGTAATTCACTCAGCAATCCATAGTTTGGCTTGCACCAGTGTTTCTCTTGGCCAGTAGTTTTGCTTTGGTATGCCACTGCGCCCTTGTTACCTCATGTCATGCTAGTTTGGCTTGCACCAGTGTTTCTCTTGGCCAGTAGTTTTGCCTTGGTATGCCACTGCGCCCTGGTTACCTCATGTCGGGCTAGTTTGGCTTGCACCAGTGTTTGTCTTGGTATGCCACTGCGCCCTGGTTACCTCATGTCGTGCTAGTTTGGCTTGCACCAGTGTTTCTCTTGGCCAGTAGTTTTGCCTGGTGTGACACTGTGCCCTGGTTACCTCATGTCATGCTAGTTTGGCTTGCACCAGTGTTTCTCTTGGCCAGTAGTTTTGCCTGGTGTGACACTGTGCCCTGGTTACCTCATGGCATGCAAGTTAATGTGTCCACCTGCTGGCCTGGGCATGCACTGCCAAGGAGTGTTTTACCTCATTGGCCAGTAGTTTATTTTTATATAGAACTAATCGTTCTTTGTGTTCAAAGACACTCTGCCCTGGTTGTACAGATAGATGTCAGATGCTAGTTTACGGCTTGCACAGCAAAATGTTGAATCTCTTGGCCAGTAAGTTTTGCCTTGGGTAAAGAAAAGACACTGTGCCATACTGGTTAATATTGATTGCCTGCAAGTTAAAACAAAGAAAATGTATTTTGTCCACCTGCTGACCTGGGCATCTTTGATTGCAACTGCCAAGGAAGTGGAAAAAGTAAAAGCCCCTTTACCTTCATTGGCATATGAGACCAGACGCATATTTTTAGACTAATATATCCATTTAAGGATGAGTCAACTTGGGAGCCGAAGTCATGCTGTAAAAAAATTAACTGGGTGCGGATTTGAACCCACCACCTTTGGATCCACAGATGAGCATCTAGTGGCTTCCGGGGAAGTGTATAGCGTGCATTAAATTAATATGCATCCTTTTCATTCATGGGTAAGATGTAGATATATATATCTAATAGAATCCTAGAATGTGCACATTGGGTTGTCTGGTTTATTGTCTAACCTTTCCCTCTTCACCTACACAGTAACATTTATTTGTCTCTCAACAGGGTTGATGCCATTCGAGGAGCAGAGGAAGAAAGACAGACCAGTCTGGCTAATCGAACAAATCCTCTCGACAACGAGCTCATCAAAACGAAAGGGCTGCTCAGAGCCCCCTCACTCCGAGACACGAAAGTAGAGAGAAAGAAAAGAGCAGAAGAAGGGGACAGTACGCCAGCCTATCCTTCGACCGGACTTGGAGAAACAGAGTCCCAACCACCGCAACACGAGGTCAGCAACGATATGAGTAGATTAAACGAATCTCCAAGGCTTTTACTGGCGGCGCTACACAGCTGTAGTAAACCAGACACGTCTGATGTTCAGTCACCAGGCTGCGGCAGGCCTGAAGGTCCCCACCCCGTCAACACACTCTCACCCACCACTATCAACGGCCATGTTGATGATTATGTTTCCATTACCTTGAGCAGACAATCAAGCACCGAATATATCACTGACACAGCAGTTTTAACCAAGTCTCCGAAAAGTGTGATCCCAGATGCAACAGCATTCCCATCACCAGTGTCAGGTGGTGATGATCAGAACAATGTAGTGGTCCGGAGGCAACGGAGGACAAGGGATAACACACCGAGGAAAGAAAATAGATCGTCTGTGGAAATTGACAGTGAAGCCAGAAGAAACTTGCTGAAAGATGTTGAAAACTTCAAGAAGAGAGATTCTCTGACGTCTCCAAAGAAAGCAACTAATAGTGGAGACTGTTCTTAGAAAGCCCGTGAATGTTTTTGAAGTTTGCATTGGCCGTCTGCTGCTTTGTGATACCATTTTGTTGGCAGTGTGGGGTCTCATAGAGACTAGCTGCCTCTCTTAAAAGGCTTGTTGTAAAGGCAATTAGGGGATTGCTGAAATTAAAAGTGTTGGGTTGAGCGGTACAGATAGTACATCCTGGATGTAAACCACAACACGGCGTTGTGTCAGCTGCTTTTGTTCTTAAAGGCAGATATAGAAGATGCATTTTCCCACAGGACAGCATTTTGTGGTGTTTTTAAATGGCACAGGAAGGTAACAATTTTGGGGTGACCCGTTTGCGAAAAAGTTGGAAACCCACACCGAGATATACCATGTGTCCTTAGTGATTGTGCACCTCTGATCGGTCACAGGTCAAAACTGCACGCTACGAATGTGACTGGTCACAAGAGCACGACTTTATGGACACAAGAGTATTATGTCAATGATAGAGAGGTTTTTGTCTATTTTCTATATAGACATTGAAGATATACAATTTCTTTGTTGTTTTGCTTTCAACTGCTGTGCTTTTGAAGTGATTACATATGTGGAAAGGTTGTCTAACTGCTTTTTATGACTGCAAATACTAACATTGAATTTAAAGCCTTTGCCCCGTTGTGAATTTGAACATAGAAGACACAAACAGTAAGTAAATTGTGCATTTTATTGCCTGGCATATCTCCTCAAGTGATACTGCATATCAGAAGAATGCTCCAATTTGTTGAAGCTAGTGATAAATCCCTTCCGTCCAGATTTGTGCAGACTGGTCATATTTGTGAACCAGCATTTGTCCTGCAGTTACTTGTGTGGTTGGTATGGTTTCATTATCTGCTTTATTCCCGGGGTGAGTTCTGGGGGCGTGGGTGTAGAAGAGAGACGCTGCCCCCACCCTGGCAAGCAAGTCGTGGTCGTGTCTACTAATCAGGGATATTTCCTTCAAAGTCAGAGTATCTGTCTGCAAAACTGGAACAACCAGGACTAAAGTCCAGCCATGCACAAACAACTAAGACTTTTGCTGAAGCTTACATCCAGTGAATGCTGAAAGGATCTTTAGATATTTGTTACTGTAGTAGCATGCAGGTATATATACCAGGCAATATATTTATCTTCTTTGTTCAAACATTGAGTTGACTGAACTGATATTACATTAGGTATACCAAATAGTGCTCACACTCAGGACATATCAAGAATGTATACCGTTGTTCTCCCTGACAACAAACAGATACCGTTGTGCTCCCTGACAACAAACAGATACTGTTGTTCTCCCTGACAACAAACAGATATCGTTGTGCTCCCTGACAACAAACAGATACCGTTGTGCTCCCTGACAACAAACAGCTGCTGTGTGGCCAGTGTATTTACATAAATTTAAATGTATTCATGGAAATAAACCCACTTTAAAATTGTTTTGTGTGTTAATTCTTTCTAAAAATAAACATGAAACTTGTATCTCATTCTTTTCTTCTGTAAAAAGAGAGTGCCACATCTAATTCTACACATTCAAACTGCAAAGCTTGGGTGCAGGTGTATATAACTTCAGTGAAGTGGTCCTTTTCCCAATCCACCACTTATAGAGTTAACTTAATCTTAGACACGTCTGATATTTGACCCGCTAACTAAACTTAAAACAGATGAAACATTCTGTATGTGGCACTGATTTCTCTAAGATTGGTCAGAATCTTCTGAAAAGTATTAGCTTCTTACATAGAAGTTGTCTTGAGCCCGAAATACCATTTAAAGTCCAGAAGTGGATGAACAACCAAAACTACTAGTAATTTTTTTTTTGCAGCTTGTATAACATTCACAATCCACAAATGAAATCAACAGATAACATATTAATTTGTATTTATTTGAATAGGACAGTTTTGCGTAGACCTAACAGATTCCAAATACTGGTTTCTTCACACACGTCATTCACATCAAACAAATTCCATCAAAAGAGCACAAAACATTTCCTCTACAAATAAAACTAGTCAATCATTAACACCCTAATTAAACCAGGCTATTATTTAATTATACCAGACCGCTGTACCGATTTTCCAGTAATTTCCTAATCTGCTTATCCGTTGTAACTAGTTTTCTGTGCTCTGAAGTTTAGTCATTGCCAATGGCCACCCACATGTTTGGTTTTACTTTGTGTGGTTTTTAATGTGAAAACAATCTGAAAATTCATAATGAAACAAGCACTTCTACAGGAATGTGAAGTAGGTCTAGGCTTTTCAGAGTCCAACAGGTGATTCAGTGCCAGAGTAAACATTTCATGAAGACCCAGTTGAAGTGAGAGCTCCAGTGATGAGAATCTTGAAAATTATAGATTTAAAACTAGATCCATAGTAAGAGAAAGGGGTGTGTTCCTCAAACAGCATTATCTGTTGCTCACTTTGCAAAACAAGGCTTATCCTGCTATGTGGATTGGCACACAAAGGTGGAATATTGGCACTAGATGAAAGGTAAACCTATTTTCTACAATGTCTCCAAGTTTTTATCTTATTCTAACCACTTGTTGCATTAATATATTTGTATATCATTTGTTTTTTTGTGTGTTAATGCCCAATTAAAGCTCAGGTACAGGGGGCAGTTAGGTTTAGGGCTTTGCTGGCATGTCACTGTCCAGGTAGGCCTGATAAGGAGACCTCACCAATGACCCCCATAAATGGCCAATATTAGAATTTCCTCTTATTCAGATACAAGTTCAAGCGTATGGTAGTGCATTTACTCCGCACAATACAGTAATAAAGTGCTGAATATGATCTACTTAAAACATGAAGTCCTCAACCCGTAAGACTAGATAGATTGTATCTGGCTGGTGTCCTAATTTCTGTTCTGAGGTTGATCAGTATCAAGAATGAGATTTTTCAATCTTAGGATGTTACGAAAAAGATTCCCGAGGGGGTCAAACTGATCAACTAAAAGAAATATGTAAATCACTCAGAGTGCTAACAAGCGAAACAGCTTGAACTGTAACATCGACAAAGCACCCAGTGCAAAACAAAAATACAGCCAAAAGGTTGTAGAAATATCCAGATGTTTGAAAAAAAAGTTCTTAAGCAAACAAAAGAAATAATCAAGTCATTTATTGAACCACTACAAGTCCGGTAAATCGCTTAATATGTCTAAAATTAAAAAATTACTCAGCTTGGTTTTTTTTTTTAACCAAGACGAATACAAATTGCTAAAGGATAAACAAATTGTAACAGAAATTCTCCATATATGAGATCCTGTCTGCACTGTAGTTCTAACATTTTCCTTTGCATAGTTTGTACGAATACTGTCAGTCAAGTAATACCCAAAAGTACCACAAGATCCTTCCCCATGGGTGGATGTATGAGGTATATACAGCCTTACAATCATACACACAGCAACTACCATCCTATAGGCTCCACAACAAGTCTACACCATTCACAGGGTGAACGTTATCAGATGTCCTGTTTCCTACCCATCAGCCTCTCTTTCATCTACTAACACTGCCCGGTTATAAGTAAAGTCAGCAAAACTTCTATATTAGGTTTACAACAGGCAGAGCAACATTCAATCAAGAGGTAGCCAGAAACACACCACACAAGTCGTTAAAAGAAGTATTCAAAACAAACAAGTTTTGTGTGTATATGAACAGTGGTGGCCAAACTTAGAATCCCATGAGAGAGAGGGGCTATTTATTTGGCAGCCTGCGGGCCAAATGTGGCCCACGGAGGCCTATCAAACAGCCCGCAGGCCAAATGTGACCCACAGATGCCTTACAAACAGGCCAAATGTTGGTTCCTATCGAATAGCCGGCTGATTATCGTTATTTCAATTGTATTAAATGATCTTTTTATATTGGAGGCTCAGAAATCTGGCCCGTGGCGCTCCACATTTTCAAAAAATTCTGGCCCCTGTTATAGTTTTGAATTAACTGCAATTCTGGGACAATGTATTTTGCATCTGGTGGGCCAATAAACAGCAGTAGATACCATACTTCATAAGTTTCGGGAAATCAATATCTGGGTGTTCTTAAACTTTTGGCCACCACTGTACGTCAAACCTCACAGATCTAAACTAGACAGCCACAGTTCAGCAGCATCCATATATTAAATATGACCACTCATCAAACACCAAAACCACAAAGGAAAACTTTAGACATGATTCATATAATTCAAGAAAGGTTGGGGATGATAAAAACTCGGCACAAGGTAGGATGGCTGATTCTCAGAACATTTAATGAGCAGCTCAGTGTGGACAACATAAACGTTCTGTCTGGCAGCATGAGGCTAGATGTCAATACCATGTGATGTGATGAAAATAGTTCCCGACCAATGCTTGCCTTCTTGTAATCAAAACAGTTGAAAAAAAAAAATGTAAAGAGTAGGTCAGAGGCTGTCTAATTAAGGTTGGGCACTCAGTCCTTGCCGCTTTTGCAACCGATTGGAACTTCTTCCCCCATGACTTTGAGAACTGTCACCTGAAATCAAGTGCACACAGACAAAAATCATCTCAAGATTGATACAACAAAAACGTGTAAACAGAAATGGAAAATCCATTATTTACATATACTTTTTAACCGGGTAAAACTAAAAGGAAAGTTGGAAAGTTCTGGTTGTTTATCTTGTTCCAGAACTTGAGGTTTGCGTGCACACCAGGTTTACAGATGTGGCTTATATATATCAGACTTTGAAGGAAACTCCTTAATTAGTCAACATACTAGTTAGGGGTGCTAGTATAGTTTTATTCCTGTCTACATGGGGAACAAAAGCATATGTTTATATGCTAACATTTATTCACATCATAAACCATGCGAACGACTAGTCTGTCACGTTTCACAGATCAGGACAGTTCTTGCCCTACTCCCACCAGTATGGCTAAGTCATCCAGGTATTTATCTCTCTGCCTTCCCCTTGCTACTTTGCCATCAGTATTGCCTGCTGTAACCACCAAGTTCCCTTAAGTCCATTCTTTCCCACAACATATCTAAAACAACACTCATCTAACTTGCCTAATCAGTTTGTGTCCTGACGTTAACCATCAGGTATGTGTAAGTACAGTGATGCATATGAAGCTAGACCTCATTTTTTTTTACAGACAACTACTGGGTATCCCCCCCCCCCTCCCACTGCATGTTAACAAGTGCTTCATTTAAGGTCAGGGTGTATGTGTCCGAGAGGCAAGGAACCAACAGTCTGCATATAAATAAACCAGTTCTGTAAACCGGACGGTCATGCAAAACATTGAGTTCTTAAACAAGATCAAAGTCTAGAAGTGGACAAACAACCTGTCAGTGCTAACATCGTGCAGTATTTAATAACTTTCAATTTTCTCATACATAAAAAGCAACAGTTAATTAGAATTTTGCTGCAATCAAGTGTGCTGGTCCTAACAAATTTGCAGCCAGGCTGTAAACCACAAAAAGAGGTAACCGAATCCAGGCAATCTATTCTAGCTCCGTGTGTATCTGCTGCACTAGCAGTGGGTGATAACAGCAACCAGCAACTGCTTCGGACAGGTCATAGTCTGATGACAACCAGGCATACACATCAGAATTCTGATTATGCTAATTTGTGTAAGGCTTGTTTGTATTAACAAAGTATTGTTTGCATAAAAAGTTACAACAAAAGGTTAAATGTTATATTAAGGATTCACATCACAGCACTCTAAAGCTCTACAAGTGCTCCGTCCTCCATCTTCAGCAGCCAACCAAGAGTTTCAATTCCGATAGCGCCAGTACAAGTCTGTCTAGCTTTTCCTCGGTGTTAGCGTCAGCCAGATCCCCATGGTAACTCTTGCCAGCGCCTTTCTCCTCAGACCTTAATCTATTTATGCCTTTGCACAGTTCACTTGCTCCCAGAGAACCCTCGCAACATCTAGCTTGCCATACATTAATTCACCACAAAGTTGTACAGAACCAGCCAATCGACCTGGCTGCTCGTTTTCCAACACACAAGCTGGTCCTGGAGAAAATATCCAAAGGATATAAACTGAAAAGAAAAATGCATGCACACACAAACATATGCTGAACAAAGGCTGCACCACTTACATTGAATGATTCGTCTCTTTCAGATCTCTCTCTAATTTCTTTTCCTGCGTCACCCTCTGGACATTTGAGGTCTTCTCGGGCCTCCCCAGTGTCGCTCATCAGGCTCAAGAAACCGTCATCATCCAGGCCCATAAACTGAAAACAAGACAAAATTGAGAGGAATTGGCAAGGAACACACACAAAAAGACTATCAAGTGGGCTCAAACCAAAAACATATTACTGACAGTTAACAAGGTAGCAAAAACTTTCATCAAGACAAACAGAAAAGAGACAAAAGCAGAGTTGGGCATACAAAAAGACTACCAAAAATTAAAAAAAAACAGCCCTAAACTGATGTTTATTAAAAAAAAATAAACATCAAGATTTAAAATAACACCATAAAAACTGTTGAAACTAATTTATATACACACATTCAAATACATCAAGGTTCAGGACAGTTAACTCTGCATAATCGTTTACCCGAGTGAGATAAATACATTGTGTCTGTTTACAATATAGCTGGAATATATTGCTTTTCGGCGCACTGACACATCAGACGTCTTTGCTTTTCTTGTTTGGTCTGTAGGACACCGGGTAATCTAATTTATGTGGTAAAGAACCCCGTGATCCACAGGGACCTGTTTAAGGCAGCAAACAAGTCAGCCCTTAAAGAAAGGTGCAGCAGAACTTAGGCATCCCCTATCATTCAAGGAGGCTTCCATAAATGTAAAGAGGTTGTGCCAAACTGTTAAGGTTTACATTTTACGCACTATGAAACAGGATAATGCAGCAGCTACCATGAAAGTGAAATAAAATGAACAGCAAAATTATTTAAAGCTACCCTAAAACTTCCTTGAGCCCTCCAGTTTAAAAGCAAATCTATAAAGATAGCTCTGTATTGGAAGGCAGAAGTGAATAGGTATTTATAGCAAAAGCATATGGACATTTACAGATGCAACAAAGACTGGCATAAGATACTACAAAATCAACTTTGAGAATGGAGGTGGAGACAGTCACTGCAGCCCTTCTGGCTTGAAAAGTAGCAAGACACAAGGGAAAAGCAAGATGAATATACAATCATAGCAAGACACAAGGGAAAAGCAAGATGAATATACAATCAGACTGTTACTGGTGCCATGGAAATTGGAACTCTGTGCCATGCTGTGAAAGTTATGTGAATGTCCCCTACGCTTGATGTCAATTCATAATTCAACACTGTTGAGAAAGGTAGAGGAAAACAATTTACTGGATACACTGGAAAAAAAGGCCAGGGTTCAAAGCCAAATTTACCAATCAATTTCACGGCTTTTCAGGGTCTCCTTAGTTTTTTTTTTTTCACAGTTGTCTCGGTGTAATACTGAAACAAGATTTCTGCCTTGTTCAAGGGTCTACAGAGCACACAATGTACTTCATTCCTGCCACATGTGTTGGTATACCAGCACATATAATCATCATCATCATGTAGCAGGTCCTTTGTCCTGAAAAAAACTCGGTCTCTCACCAGCTCCCCCATCTCATGTACTTTTTTATACTCAAGGAGTCATTTATATCCTGTGCCCATCTTTGTGTTGGTCAGCCCCTGCGCTTGATATAGTGTTTGAAAAAAATTTTCGGCTTGGTGGTAAAGGGCAGCAAAGTCCTGTCTGTTCTGGACCTGGAGAGTCATGCAGAGAGGGAGGAAAACACATGCTGAGGAAGACTGGGAGAGACAGTGTAAAGATGGACAGATGAAGGTAGAGGAAAGAAGGAAAAGGAGTCTGGGGAAGGAGGAAAAAACGAGAGTGAGGGATGGAGACATGATGAAGGTAAGTGGGAAAGGGACAGCGAAAGACAGAGAGGGAGACAAATACAGAAAGAGGGAATGATACAGAGATGGGCAGATGAAGAGAGAAGGAAAAAGGGAAACATATGAAAGGAGGAAAATATGACAAAGAGAGTTGAAGGAAGGGAGATAGAGGGAGAGAGAACGGACAGGTAGAGAAGCAGATGCAAGCAGAGAGATGCAGATATAAAGGAGAGAGAGAGACAAAGGGATAGCATAGAGAGGCAAGCAGACAGAGGGAGAGAACCAAAGAAAGAGAAAAAAGGCAGAGCAGGAGAATGGGAGGGAAGAGGAAGTGATGAAGGCAGGCAAACAGACATAAAAAGAGAGAGAGAGAGATGGGTAAGGAAGGCAGTGACAAACAGATTAAGAGAGTGGGGCAGGAAGGGAGACAAGATACATCAAAGGAAGGAAAAAAAAACAGCCTCGTGCTGAAACCCCACCCACGCTCCAACACAATTTCAAGTGTAGTGGACACCACCACTAGGGAAAGATGGTTATGGGGCTACAAAACATGTAGATGGACCAGAAAAAAAAAAGGGGGGGAGGGGAAGACAATGAAAGAGGAGAGAGGGTAAGAAAATCTAGAGAAAATAAAGACAGGATGGAGAGGAGACAAAGAAGAGATGGGACAGGAGGAAGAGCAAGAGAGAACAGAGTAAGGAAAGGAAAGGATGAATGGAGAGATAAAGGTGAATAGTGGAAGATCAAAGGAAAGGGGTGAGAGAAGAGAGGTAAGACATGGTTGGGGGGAGGGGTTAGTGATAAGAACACTGAGCGCCAAAAATAGAATTAGGAAATCTCTAAGCGGGGCAACTTTTCCGGTTCCTACCCTCTCCCAAAGTGAATGTGGCCGTGGTCTATAAACAACAGTGCTAACCCCTACTGCCCCATGCTTGTCCTATCTGCGTGTGACAACAATAGTTCAATTTCTTACACTTAAGCCTGGTGACTTGAGAGCCAAGGTCATTTTCGGAAGAAAAAGTCCAGGGGATCCCAAACCACCACTGGTGGAAAATAGAGCAGGTTACCCACACACACACACAAATAGGCCAGGACACCAGTTTTATTTCTGGTTTTCCAATTACAGAAAGGAGGGGGGAAGAGAAGGTGGTGTAGAAGGCTGAGATGGTAAGGGTGAGACAGAGGAGGTAGGAAAGGTGAGAAAATAAAGTGGGAACTGAGACAGGGAGAAAAGAAAGGGGGGTGACGGACGGCAAATTTAATATGTATGTGAGGGGGGGGGGGGGGGTGGACATGAAAATGTTCTGCACTAGACAACACATAACCTTCTACACCAACTGAAGGTATGGGGAAAGAGAAGAGCAGAAGAAGGAGGCCGGGGGGAGGAGGGGTGGGGGTGTCCCAGGGAGGGGGGGAGGGGGGGGGGAGGGGGGGGGGGGGGGGGGGAAGAGATTAAACCCGCTAGCCCAAAACAGAAAACCCAGCAAAAGAAAATATCCACCCCCCCTCCCCCCCCCATAACACAACTTCCTGTGTACTTGAGATGCTAGGAAAAGAGTTATGGAGCCGCACATTTGCTAAACATGCAAACAAGAAATAAAATAGGAGGGGCGGAGAGAGAGAGAGAGAGGAAATGAGAGTGTAAAAGGAAAGGTAGAGAGAAAGAGAAGAAGAAGAAGATCAGAGGGAAGGGTGAGAGACAGACTATAAATTCTGCCGGACTCCTAGAATAGAAGGCACGCACTCAGACGGCAGCTGCCCCTTACCGCCCCATGCCACGCCGCATGTATTCATAGGCTGCAATACAGCCCGCCCTTCCCTGGCCTTTAACAAGCTATTCTGGCTGAAAATAGCTGATAATCAGCTGCCCTCATGCCAAAAACGACCTTAAACGGGAAAGTAGCCAAAACTAGCCAATCGTCAACAAAAAAGTCAAATGGCACAAAAAATAGCGTAGCTGCTGAAAATCACAGGGTTTCCGACGATTTCTTTATGGCTGTCAAAATTGACAGCTTCTTGAGGTCAGAATGTCCTTTTTAAGGAGAATATCACGGTTCCTGGTAGGAAAGTCAATTTCACGGTCAATTCAAGATTTCCCTGATAGGCAGAAAAATGAAACACATGCGATAAGCCTGATCAGCTAAGCTTCTTCTTCGTGTTAACCAGCTGTAAGCTCTGGCGGAAAGTTCTGGTTGTTTATCCACCTTTGAAGTGCAGTTGTGTTCCAGAACCTGAGTGTTACATGTGCATCTGTTTTATAGATGACTCATTTGTATGCAGACTGCTGGTTCCTTGCCTCTCAGGCAGATGCACTCAGACTTCGAAAAAAAAGCGCCCAATTAGTAGACTCTTACTACATGCTTTTGGGTAGGCATGGGGAGATCAGCTGAGCAACAAATAATTACACTGAAATGTCCAAAGACAGAGAAGACTGCAGAATCGTTTTCATCGATCCCTACAGTGCACATAAAGGCAAACATACCTGATAATCCGTGCGGACGACATTAGGCACTGACATATTGTGCGTAGATGGACATATGTCTTCATATTTTTTATTGGTGAATAGGTCAATTCCTATCATATGGACCTGCAATCAGAAATAATAAAATAAAATCACATTTACCTCCACACATATTTAATTAACTCTTCCCCCGTGTGGGTTCCAGGGCCCCATTGTTGGGAAAACAAGAATAGACCCACTGCCTCCCCAAAAGCATATTGTAAGAGTCAACTAATTGGGGAGCTTCCTTTCAAGTCGGAGTGCATCTGCCCGGGAGGCGTGGAACCAAAAGTCTGTATTCAAACAGAATGAGATCTGTAAAACTGATGCACACACAACACTCAGGTTCTGGAGCAGGACTGCAGTTCAGTAGTGGACGAGCAACCAGAATTTTCTGCCAGTGTACAGCTGGTGAACGCGAAGAAGAAGAAATAATTAACTCTTAAATCTGGTTTTTCAAACATAATTACTCCCAAATAAAAGGAAGCCAACAGAGATCGGCAGTATGAATAACTCAGCAGTTCCACATCCAAATGCTTGCTGCTAACCTAAAGGTCACTGGTTTGAAGTTTTTTTTTAAATTTGTATTATAATTAGTATTCTTAGCGTTTCATCATCATCATGTAACAGGTCTTTCGCAGAAAGTCGCTCTCATCAGGCTGTCTGAAAGAAACCCGGTCTCTCACCAGTTCTCCTGCCTCACGCACTTTCACACTCAAGGAGTCACTTATATCCTGTGCCTATCTTCATGTTGGTGGTCCCCTGCCCCTCCTTCCTGGTAATTCTTAGCATTTACCTGCTCTAAATTTTTGTAGAGTCCTGGTTGACAACCCACTCAACCTGACCATTGGTCTAGGTCCAAAACTTGAGTTTTGCGTGCTTATTTGTATGCAGACAATGACTTAGCTGTCAGTCAGTAGTGACCTCACTTTAAAGCAAGCATTCCTATTTATCTCCTGGAACATCCTTGTTACAAGGGCAGTGGGTCTATTTATTCTCTGCCCTCTGTAACTGAGAATGTCACTTGGAACAAACAAAGAACAAAAAATAATGGGTTTAAAAAAAAACACCTTGGATTCAGATCTATGATAAGACATCACCTATGCTTTTCAGAAAGGCAAATAAAGATGTATATACACACATTGGGCAGCAAGCAACATAATCAGTGAGAAAGACTATTATTATAGCCTGGAGAGAATGAGGCAACTGGGTGTAACCAGAGGGTCTGGCCGGCTCACTACAATAAGAGGAAAGGCAAGACGGACATTTAATCAGATTATGACTGGTACCATCAGTATTGAAACTCTGCACTGGTTGCTGAAGATGAGGACGGAGCATGCATGGGAATTCTTGACAACTCAACATTAGGCAGCATATTTGTTCACCCTGGCATGCCCAAGGGTTAAGTTCAGCATGCCCATAAACTAATTACATAAAAACTAAGTAAGACAATATCATTTATAAAGCTAAATTTGAATTAAAATTGTTAAACTACCTTGTTTCAGAAACTGAATTTCTTTTATCAGACAATGACCAGAATGACCTGCTACACCTACAAAATTCCTTCTTCTTCTTCTTGTTCACCGGCTGTGAATTCCGGCGGTAAGTCGCGGTTGTTCGTCCAAAATGGACTTTTGGATTTTACCTTGACCTGAGTTTTGCGTGTACATCCGTTTTACTGGCTTATTTGTTTGCAGTTCTCGTTCCCCGCCTCTCCGGCAGATGTACTCCAACTTCGAGGGAAGACGTCAAGCCTATTTCTAGGTTGACTGTGGCCATTGTTTTGTGTGGGTCGAGATGTTTGCTTATTTGTGTGGTGTCCTCTTTGACCCTTAACAGGTGTGGCCCCCGGGATGTTGTCCTTAAGGCAGCTCCATGTAGAATTGTCAGCCCTCAAGGGAAGGCAGGGGCAGATCATGGGCATTCCCCGCCATCCAAGGAGGCTTCCATAAATGCAGAGCCGACACATGATGCTCTGGTTCTAGGCTCACCCAAGGAATCGTCACGTCCTGCCCATGACTGCTTAACCTCACAACCGTGTATTGAGCTTCCCACGCTACAAGGCTGCGCTCTCTGGAGATCAGCGGGGAGCAGCCCGCGGGTCTAGGGCGTTTGTGGCCACACAAATAGGTACATTCTTTTTTCATCTTACGTTAGACACCGTGAACGTTGTTTCAGCTGTGCCCTTAGCACGACAGAATGGGAAAGCAAAATTTATCAGGCGTGGCTTCACCTGTTTGGTCCCAACACTCAGGCGAGTTGGACCAGTGGATACGGACATTTGGATATTTTCCTAATCGGTACGAATTATGATCGTCGGACTTTGAGCTTGATCTACAAAATAAAACTCATTTCATCCGCAAAGAATGAGCAGTACATTTTAAATAACGGCTATCCTCCTAATAATGGGCACAAAAGATGGCTGTCGCAAAAACACCCTAACAGAGACTCAGCCACGTGTCAACTGCGCACTTCCAGCGACTTAATTTGCGTTTTTCCGGCAAGTGCTGCCACCGCCGAGAGTATTCCCTGCGCCAGAGTTGTCGGCAAAAAAAAAACGCAAATAAGGTCACCAGAAGTGACACGTGACTGTTGCCCTGTTTTTTGGCCGGCATCTTTTGTGCCCGTTATTCGGAGGATAGCCCAAATAACTGCCTGATAAGGGGAAAAAAAGGACCAACCTTGGCATGGCCATGTTTGCCGGTCTTGGATGTAGACATTTCTACGATTTTGCAAGGGCGTCCCTTAAGAACAACATAGCCGTTCTTCCTGAGAGAGCTGCACTGCATGGGGTACGTCTGTGAGGCCCCAGCATCAGCCCCCTCAAAGGTCTCCTCGTGATCAACATCTGCCATTGTAACTAGCTTCTGAAGAAGAAACAATACAAAACATTTGTGACACTGGATGACAGTAGACAGAAAACCAGGACAATGACATTTGTGACATTTCGTAGGAGTTGGCTAAACTGGGGGCTTACTTCGAAGGAGTGCATCTGTCCGAGTGGCAAGGAACAGCCAACTACACATAAATAAGCCAGTAAAGCGATGTACATGCAAAACGCAGGCCCTGATAAAAAGTCCAAGTGAACGAACAACTAGGACTGTCTGCTAAGCTTACAGCCCATTGAACAAAGAAGAAGAATGTTTTCCTGATATCGATCTTTGAACTTATGGATCAAATTCAAACTTGCAGCCCAGGTCTTTATTCTTCCAGCTCCCTCAGAGCTGAACCCACTACCACTGGATCTGCAGGCGAGCATCTGATGCTACACCTGGGGCTACCATTGGATCTGCATGCGAGCATCTAGATGCTACACCTGGGGCTACCATTGGATCTGCAGACAAGAATCTAGATGCTACACCTGGGGCTACCATTGGATCTGCATGTGAGCATCTAGATGCTACACCTGGGGCTACCATTGGATCTGCAGACAAGAATCTAGATGCTACACCTGGGGCTACCATTGGATCTGCAGACAAGAATCTAGATGCTACACGTGGGGCTACCATTGGATCTGCATGCGAGCATCTAGATGCTACACCTGGGGCTACCATTGGATCTGCAGACAAGAATCTAGAAGCTACACCTGGGGCTACCATTGGATCTGCATGCGAGCATCTAGATGCTACACCTGGGGCTATTGGCTATATATTTTGGTCAATATTATATATTACTTATAATAGATTATGTATATGACTACAACACTTCAGCTTTCTAGAACTTGAGACCTGGGAGTCACAGGGGGTTGTAATTTTATTTGCAACACCCTAGAAATACAATATAATATTTTGTATTGGTACATCAACATTAGGCCATAAAACTAGACCGGACTGAGACTCTAAAAAGTTACACAGTTCAAAGCGGAGATTCTTGAGTCTTCCTCCCACACCCGGCCTAAAATGAGTAAGAACCCCAAAAAAATTAGAGTTAATAAATGGATGGTCAAAAGTTAAGCAATGTCCACGTGGGACTTGACACGATAACAGTATCATTTACTCAGTAAAAACGAAACCTGATGAGTAACATTTCACCAAAGGATGTTATTTTAACACAGATTAAGTTATTGTCAACCTAGCGTGTCTGAACTGGTCAATTAGCGATTTCCCAGTCGGGGTCGCCTTCAGAAACTTGCGAGCTACAAGTCGTCGATCTTGTCGAATCACCTGGCAAGATGGCGGCTAAAACTACACAGGCAGTTTCATGTCTACTTTGTCGCCGTTCCTTACCTCTATTAACACTTGATATAAACAAAACAGAGTTGTAGCTGATAGAGTGAGGGATGAAAGAATTCAGGAACACTTCCAGATGGTGATATCTGGCTTGGTTTATGGAGGTATGAATATTTATAACCGAGATTGGTACTCACGTGCAGGTCGGTTGCTGGGCCGGTGGGGAACAAAAAAAGGAAAAGCGCATGCGCAGGAAGTGTGTGTTTCTTTATCTCCGCGCCACCTGCACGCCGGTCAGGGTTGGTGATAGTGCTGGAGAAAGCAGTGTTGCCACTTTGAATGTTTTACATCCAGATTTAGATGTTTTCTTTTCATTTAGATGGCGTTTTTGACGTTTATATTATAGATGTTTTTCATTTGGAGTGAATTTATCAAATCTAACCTAAGAAACAGGATTAAATTTGACCTCTTAAATGCTATCTTGACAATAAAATTCGGCCTGATAAGAGTAGAAAAAAGCTGTTCCACTCATCAGCTCCCTGTTTGGGTATTAAAAGAAATTAGAACAGCTAAAGCACACAAGAGTCATTTTGGATCTGAAGCTTTAACTTCATCATCCAAGTTAAGTTTATCCTGTGGATGTTCTGAGGCAGACTTCAGTAAAGATGAGGACATGATTCTGTAGGGTAAGTCCATCCCATCTTCAGGCTATTTATATCTCGAGTTGGCTTTGGGTGCCCTATCAATTGCTATGTAATTTGTGACTCAATTTTGATGTTTTTTTCTAGATGTTTTTCACACAAATCTAGATGTTTCTAAATATTTTTTGACTCCGTTTTGAATGTTTTTTTGTCAAAGAAAAGTTGCAACACTGGGAGAAATGGAGCTAGAGTTGGTAATTGGTATGTCAACTGTCACCGATATCTGCTTTTACCACTTTTTTTTTAAGGAGTTGTAAACTTTGGGGGTCGTGAGACGGAGGATTTAGGGCCGCTATCACCACGGACTGTGCAAGTTAATTGTGTTTAATTTTGTGACCCCCCCCCCCCGACAGAAAAACGTAAAAAACACTCTCTTAAAAACAATGAGCTCTCAAAATGGGACTAGTTATCAATCAATATTTTTTTCCTTCTTTTTCTTATGATCGCTTTTTGATTTACACCGATAAACTTTCTTCAAGAGTTCCCTTTTGTTTCTTCTGTTTAGTGTTGCTAGCAGAGAGTGAGCAAGAGTTGCAAGACCTAGTGGAGCAAGTAAACAGAAGGAGTGCAGAATTTGGATTAGATATAAATTTGGAAAAGACAAAAACCATGATATGTAGCAAAGAAAATAATCAGCTAACAATGAACGGTGAACGGGGTGAAATTGGAACAGGTTAAAAAATTTCTTATATCTTGGACAAGTAATAACATGTGACGGCAGAAGTGAAACAGAAGTCAAGAAAAGAATAGGGATGGCCAAAAACATTTTCAACAACATGCAAAAGTTACTGACATCAAGAGAAATAAGCAATACATTAAAAACGAGAATTGTCAAATGTTATGTATTCTCAGCCTTACTGTATGGCACAGAGACATGGACAATGAACAAACAACTGGAAAATCGTATCAATTCTTTGAAGATGTGGATATACAGAAGATTAGGTCGTATTTCATGGAAACAAAAGCTATCAAATACAGAGGTACTGAGAAAATTGGGAATGAAAAGAGAGTTGCTAGGTGAAATAAAAAAGAGACAAGTGAAATATTTTGGCCACATTAAAAGACATAACAGTATTGTAAAGATCATCCTAGAGGGAAAGGTTCAAGGTAGGCGAGCAAAAGGCAGACAGCGTTACAAGTGGGAGGATAACATCAAGAGACGGGCGAACAGCAGTATGAGTGAGTGTACATCAAGGGCAAGAGACAGGGCTTGTTGGAGATCCATTGCAGCCAACCTTCATTGTGGAGACGGCACCTGGTTCATTCATTCATTCTGTTTCAATACAGCTTTAATTGCTGTGTTGACCCAGTCAGCCAGTATTCTCGTAATGTTCTGTACAAGGGACGTTCTTGCAGCACACGTGCTGTAGTCTGCACATACAGCCCACAAGGGAACAATAGTGAACTAAGGGATTTTAAATCCGGCCACAATACAATCGATAATATGACGATCAAACAAACAGAAATATAATAAGTACTAGGGTGCAGACTTCAACTACTCTAGCATGCTGGGAGATTAAATAAATTCAAGGGGGGGGGGGGGGCACCGAAATCAAAATATATAAAACGCTGATAGGCCCAGTTAGTTTAAATGGCTGTGAAACTTGAAGCACAACTAAAAGAGATAAAGCTTTATTGAAAATTGTCGTACAGTCTAACAACGAGCCTTTAGACCCATCAAAGTTTAGGAATGGAGAGTGAGAAGAAACAACGAAATTCATAATCTGTTTAAATCACCATTGATCAAGCGGACTAATAGACTAAAACGACTGGGACATATTGACAAAATAACAGACATGTACATATTTGGTTGTAGACCAAGAGGCAGACTCCCAAGACTATGGAGAGATAATGTCCAGCCAGACCTGCAAACATTTTGATGTCTTCTTCTTCTTCTCTTCCACCTTGTACCTCATCGAAGTGTCGGGGGGAGATGTAATGTTCGTTGATGAGCTCTGTCAAGAGCACTATTAAGACTGATGTTCATTTCTGTAAGGCTGTTCTTAATGCCATCACTCCATATTTTCCGAGGTCTTCCACTCGCTTTATACCCGTTGTAACGTTTTAGTGTGGCTCGCTGTGGCAGATAGTACCAGGGAATTCTTGTTAGGTGTCCAAACCATTTCATTTATTGTTCTTTGATGACCTGTAAGACTGGTTTTATTCCTAGCATTCGTCTGATTTCATGATTTTGTATTCTGTCTTTCCTTGAAACCCCTGCAGCTCTTCTAAGGCATTTCATCTCTGTTGTCACAATTTTACGTTCATTGGAGGATGTAAGTGTCCACGTTTGGCATTGATAGCATAGTGTTGGCCAAAAAATAGTTCTTATAAGATTCACTTTAGTACTCCGAGGTATCTGCTTGTGTGTCAACAGGGGAGATAGTTGACCCATTACTTGATTAGCTTTGGCACATCTGGAGCTAATTTCTCTGTCCAGTTTTCCGTCTGAAGTAAAAATTGCTCCCAAATACTTAAATTCCTCTGTTTGTCTCAGGGTGTTGTTTTTTAATTTAATTTCTAAATTGTCTTTATGTCTTCCTATCATCATTGTGTCTGTCTTCGTAGTGTTTATTTTCATATTATATTCCTCCCCTTTGTTACTAATTTGATTTAGGTGGTTCTGTAGGCATTCCATATTTTCTGCTATGAGTACACTTTGATGTCACTAACTAGAAAAAGAAGGCCAGTTGGAGAGAGGAATGGGGGCGGGTCACATCTGCAGTAATGAATCTCAAGGGGTCGGAATGCTGAAGAATGAGAAGTTGTGCAGGAGGAGTGTGCGTCTCCCATCTCCGCACCACCTGCACTCCAGTCAGCCAGAGTTACTGATAGTCATATACCCATCACCACAAAAGTCGGTCAGAACCATAGATGCTCCGGTCTCCTCCTCAGTTTCACAAGAGTAAAACGACTGGTCACACCCTTTATCTTCTTCTTCGGTTTCACGGGCTGTAAACTCCAGCGGAAAGTTCTTGTTGTTCG